CAGGTACTTCCTGGTACCGAAACGGGGAGGGACCGGGATTCGCCCGATCCTGGATCTGAGGGCCCTGAACCGATGCCTCAGAAAGTACAGATTCAAAATGCTCACGCTCTCATCCCTTTTGCGTCTGATTCACCAGAACGACTGGTTCACCTCAATCGACCTGAGGGACGCATACTTTCATATTCCCGTGTACACAGGAAATTTCTGAGGTTTGCCTTTCAGGGAGTGTGTTACGAATACACCGTGCTCCCATTCGGCCTCTCGCTGAGCCCGAGGGTGTTTGTCAGGTGTACGGAGGCGGGGAGGAGCTCTAAAGCGGAACACCTCTTCTACTCGACACTCGATGACCTCTGTAGCATCAGATAATCCTGACAGGTGATTTAAGCGCTGAGGGAGGAGGGGACGGTTTAGCGAAAAAACACGATCTGGCATTTATTCTCACAATGTCAAACAGTAATTTTACAAACAAATCCAAGATTATTTAACTTTAATTTACATGCTGTATAAAATCTCTATTTTATAAATGATGTAGTTATGCTTAACAAGTAGAGCATGTCTGCATTTTATTTCTTTCATTATTTTTATAGTTGGCATGTAAAAGTTAATAGTCCGGACAATACCGATTTTCACTTTTTTAATAGAAAAATTATAAATTACTGTAAAAAACAAATTGATTTAAAAAATGGAGAAACCTTACATACAAACTCCTGGTTTCCCAGGTGCTGAGCAGAAGAATGTGGATCTCTGACTCATTTGTTTGCTTTTTTTTGTTTCAGCACAGCAGTTTCTGTAATGTTCTGGTATGTTGAAATGTTACAGGAAGCAGTTCAAGATCCCTGACGTCCTGACTATCGTCCTGATCCCATGTTGCTCATGAATCTTTTGGATTAGTTCTAATTTTTTTTAAAACATTTAATTGGAAGTTAATCCCACATAAACTACTAGGGTGTGTACATTTGGTATTATTGATAGGGAATGAAGCCAGGATCTCACTAGGCTGAGTATGTTGCAGAAGAACAGGAAACAATTGATATAGTTCCAAAAACATCCTTAATAAGGGTCGTGTACTGGCAAGAATTGTTTGATATCTCACACGAGACGATACGATATATTGCGATACTTAAAGAGCAAGTCACCCCCAAATAACCTTTTTTTTTTGCTGATAAACTAAATAAACGAGTGTCTAATCGTGCTGCAGACACGTGCCGTCAATAATTTGGCACTTCAGTGCATCTTAGTTAAAATTTAAACATTCTGCCTAAAACTGGCAGTGTTGTGCCGTTGTCAGGTAAAAACTCTGCACTGTATTTTAATTTAAATCTGCCACCGCTATTGGCTAAGAGGTATGCTATGATGTAAACAGGTAGATTATGATGTCACAATGCCTGTGTGTGTGTGTGTTTGTTAGCAGCTCCGCCCCCTCGGTCTGCCAGGCAACAGCATTTGTTGCATTTTTCAAACATGAAGTGGGAGTGGAGTTAGAATCTGGTAGGGGCTGACTTGCTCTTTAAAGTCAGACAATGTTTGCAATGTTAAAGACTAAACATCCGTGTAATTTTATTCCATCAGAATGAAGGTGGTAAAAGCTGCTGCCACCTAGCAGTCGGGGGTTGAATTGCACCACAGACATAAATTATAGTAAATGATCGCATGTAAATTTTTATTAAAAAAATAAATGTTGCTTTAAAATATCAATTTGGTGTCATATCATGACACATTTTAACTCATTAACTGCCAGTGACAATTAAAGTTGTCATTTGCATCATTTTCCTGTGTGGGCGTTGGAACGAGCCCCGGCACCGTGAGAACAAACATCCCAGCTCTAAAGCCGATCTTCTTCCGCGTACATAACACATCACGTCATCAGGATGCAGAAAAGCCATTTGTTAGGAGATCGTTTTGGGCCGCTGCTGTAAAAAAAGTGAGTCTCGAACCGGACAAGCGTCTGCTGATCACAATTCAACAACGGATTATGAAAAAACGGATAACGCTCGGAATGCGCGGATTCTTCCTGATGTAAGAGGTGAGTCTACTCTTTGTTTTGGTACTTTTGGCATCGACATCATCCTAGAGTGCAACGTTTTGTGAACCTTAAAAAAAAAAAAAAAGGAAAAACGCTGAAAAACTGGCAGCGAAGGGCTTTTCTGATCAGGAAACGGCTGGCAGTTAATGAGTTAATGTATCAATATTTTCTTACGTCCCTAGTGTTATATAGTTGTTTGATGGTTCTCATTTTATTATTTAAGTCATTGCGCCTTACCCTTGAGGCATGTACTTTTCAACATATTCAAAATGCTTCAGCAACCAATTTACAAATTTTCACCCAGCTGTTGCGAGTATCTGGGTGTCATCTGGCAGGATGCATTCTCAGTTTTGCCTCAGTGAGTCAAAAAGGGCGAGAAATGCTAGACAACTTTGGAAGAAGTTGCCAATGAAAATGTGACCAACAATTGTGGACAACATTCCCGCAACTTTTTCATTTTACTTGTCCAACGTTCAAAGTTTATGACTCCATGTGATGTTTCCAGATTTTCTTCCAATTTAATTTCTCTCCAGCCCGTTTAGCTACTATCCTAGCAAGAGTGGGCACAACTAAATTTATTTTTGACAGAAACTTTTACCAGATGCTATTGCATCTGGTGTATTTGGAATGGACAATTTTTGACTTAAACTAACTAAAAGGCTTATTTGCCATAAGTATTTTATTATTTTTGCTTTCAGTAAACATTCTGACATATTTAAAACAGTTGATTTTGCAAGGTGACTGTACGGTCATACACCTCTATCAAACCATGATGTGCATTTGTGCGATTTCCATAACTGATAACAAATCTTATTCATAGAAACACACATAAGTGACCTCCCACTTGCATTCAACTTAAAGGAAACATGCTGGTCTGAGTTGCTCTTTTTGCAATGGCACACCTAGCTTTGTCTGCAGATGCAAGAGCCTGATATGGTGTAGAAATGTTTACAACACAAGCCAAGCCAACTTTATTTATAAAGCACTTTAAAAACAGCCCTCACTGACCAAAGTGCTGAACATAAAAACATAAAAGCATAAAACTGAATAAAATAGAATACAGTATAAAGTTAAAAGCACACCAAAATAGAACACTAAAATCAAATGGAAATCCAAAACTTCATACGGTGTTGAAAGCCAAGCTACAAAGGTGGGTCTTTAAGGATGATTTAAAAGTTTCCAGTGAGGAGGCCTTTCTAATGGGCTCGACAAACGGGGGCGACATCGCCTCTCCTCCATTCATTTTCAATGAGACATACGTGACAAAGCGATAATCGCGGGTCTCCCTCCTACTAAGCGAAACGCGAAAAACGTGCGTGTGAAATTTTGCGCTCGTGCACGTGTCGTGCACAGGCGACCCAGCGACGCGATCCCAGAAAGTTGAAACATTTTCAACTTTTCATCGCTGTCGCTCGGACGAGGACCAATCAACGGAGGTTTCATTCACTGACCAATGAGCGGGCAGGATGCTCCGTACATCTCCGAGCAAACATGGAGGAGAAGTTGATTAATATTATGTTTTATAAAGTAAAATCAGAAGTAAGATTTCACATAACTCTAACAGCACCTTGTGAAACATCATATCTACCACTTTTTTAACTCTGAACCGCTTAAATAACCTTAATTCCCTCCAACCTGACACGGCCAAGCAAAACAACGGAAGTTTCAATTTCGCCATGGAACAGAACGCGTAGACGGCTTTGCCGCTGCCGCGGGTCGCCTCCCGTGTGTCAGGTAATAAAAGCGACAGCTACAAATTTCGCTGATCGCGGTCGTTTGTCGCCTCCCGTGTGTCGAGCCCATAAGATGTGCCGGTAAAGAGTTCCATAGTGGGAGCAGCAACAGCGAAGGCCCTATCCCCTCTGAGCTTATGCTGTGTCCTTGGAATGTCCAGATGACCTGAGCGACCGAGAGGAGGAGTGAATGTGCAATACCTCAGAGAGGTAGGGCGGGGCAAGACCGTTTAAAGACTTAAAAACAAATAAAAGAAGTTTAAAATGAACCCTAAAATGGCCAGGCAGTCAGTGCAGTGACGATAAAACAGGAGGGAAGGTGTTCACTCCTCTCTGTACCAGTTAAAGTCGAGCAGCAGCATTATGCACCCGCTGAAGTCGAGACAGTGAGGACTGGCTCATAACAAAATACAAAGAGTTACAGTAATCCAGACGAGTTGTAATAAAAGCATTGATTACAGTTTTAACATCCTCTCTAGTCAAAATGTGCTTTACCTTTGTCAACCGTCTCAAAAGAAAAAAGCTGGATTTGACAACAGCACTGATCTGACTGTCCAACCTAAAATTCACAAGTGAAGAAATGTCGGCCCCTGCCTAATGACGGTGTAAGTGTGGCAGCTGCCACAAAGGTCAATAATCAGTATTTGTTTGTACGTCCTTTTAACAAATTTCAAAACCCCAAAAGCTTTAAAACAACGACAATATCCCAAAACACCAGAAAGTGAACAACACAGTTAAGAAAGATATGGAAAGAATGAATGGAATGCTATTGAGTTCAACAAGGGTCACGCCAGTTTTATACGGTGGAAAAAAATTACCAACAAAACAAAACTTTTTCTGCTGTTTTAAGAAAATATTTTTCTAATGATCAGAAAGACTGACCCAGAAACACCAAAGACTAAAAACTGGTTTTTCACTGACTTGAAGTGGATGGACACATCTGGGTCCAGCAATGGATTCTTAGATCTGCGCATGCAAAGCTCAACAATAACTGAAACAATAGGGGCTTGTGTTTGACACATCCCTTTCCGTCACACCAACCATCTCCTCGTTTCCCCACCTTCTCTCTGGAAGAACCTGAGATCAACCTGATCTGAGATCTCTAAGATGACGTTAAAAACAAACCACGAAGGGAGAGCAAAATAAAGAGATTTTTGGCAAAAATAAAGGAAGCTTTAATCATTTGGTGCTTATTGGGTTAAAACTGCATAATCACTTAAAGATATCATAAATGGAATACTCACGGTACTTTCTGTCGACAGTAAAAGATTAGGGCGATGCTTGCCGCCAAAGCAACGAGGCAGGCGATAACGATTCCAGCGATGGCTCCATCTGAGAGACCATTATCGATCTCTTCTATAACACAGAAAAACACAAAATCGTTTAATTGAAATGCGGCACACTTTGATTGAAGCAGAAACGACAAGGAGGAAATGGATATGAACGGATGGCTGAGTCTGAGTGTTATTTAAAAGAATTGATCATTATTTACTGATCATTCGAAGATCTAACACACTATATAGTAGGGCTGTCGCGGTAACCGCAAAAATGAAATATCGTGATATGAAGAAGCCCACCGCGCTGCATCATGCGCCACCGCGATTACGGAACTTGGTTCAACTCAATGATGCGTGTTGAGAAGGATGGCTGCACTGGTATCAAAACGAAACGTTACTTCGCTCCTTTGGGAGCACTTTGGTTTTCAGTACGTCAGCTGCTGCGCAGCCAGGGTCCTTGGCCGAGACAGAGCTGCCACCAGCGGCAAATAAATAAATGCTCGGAGACCTGCTGAAGTCCCGGACAAGCACTGCTTCTGCAGCCGTCCCGAAGAGAGTTTGAGCCGAGCTGGAGCTCACTCGCTACCTGCAGGAGGAATGCATCCACCCTAAAGAAAACCCCCCTGACATGGTGGAGCAACAACCGGGAGAGATTCCCTTTGCTCGCCAGAGTCGCACGCAAGTACGTGTGCGTTAGTGCAACGAGCGCACCATCTGAGAGGGTTTTCAGTGTTGCTGCAAATGTTGCCACCCCTCTCAGATCCTCTCTCAAACCGTAGTTAACATGCTGGTTTTCCTTGTAGGTAACAAGGACGTGACCGAGCTATAAATCACCGTCATTCGTGTGTGTGAAAGTGAAAGTGAAAGTGAAATGATAAGTGCGCCCGCCCCCCGGCGCGCCCGGTACATGTAATTTTTTATGCTTGATTTTAAACAACTAAACAAAATGGGGACTTGTTTCTTATTTGTTAGATGCTGCAGCCAAATTTGCATTTAAAAGTTTAACCTTCTCCTGAATTTTGTTGTTTTTAAGTTCAGTCGGACTCCGACTGTCGGAGAAACAAACGTTACTGCGATCTGTGTTGTTACTGCCCTTTGATCTGCATTCAGTAAAGTGTTATTAAAGAAGGCACGGCAATTTTTAACCTTTTTTAAATGTGTAAACATTATGTTTAGATAGTACTGCAATAAAAAAGGGCTGCAATAATATCGCACACCGCAATATTAAACCACCCTGAATCACCGCAGGGGGAATTCCTCAACCGCGACAGCCCTACTATACAGGTGAAACTTAGTTTTTTTACATCAGCAAATCTACTTAAAAGGTGAAACTAATATATGAGAGGCTCATTACATGTAAAGCCAGATATTTCAAGCTTTTATTTGTTAATTATGGCTTACAGCTTAAGAAAACCCCACATTGAAAATGAAATCCAAAACACCTGCAAAGGGTTCATGAGCCTTTAGATGGTCTCCCAGTCAAAAAATTACTGAAATAGATTAACGTTTGCATAATATTCAAATTTGTTTTTGTTGCACCTGTATAGAACTATAGAAAGAACAACATTCCAGTGTGGAGAGGAAACTAAAACAAAGATGTCTACCTAGTTTCTTTCCTCCAGATATAAGGGTGTTTGGTGGAGATGAAAACAGGTTGCCACCCTTGCAATCAGTTAACTAGGGCTGCAACAACGAATCGATAAAAATCGATGAAAATCGATTATTAAAAGCGTTGGCAACGAATTGCGTCATCGATTCGTTGTGTTTCCCTAGCAGTTTTAAAAAATTTCCCCATGTAATCCGATTAATCGATTAATCGTGTCGAGACCCCATCCGATTCATTGATTATCCAAATAATCGTTTGTTGCAGCCCTACATTTAACTAAACAGAATTAATAATAGTACAAATGAACTAAATCAGCTTTGCAGTAAGCAACATGGTTGTATATTAGTGGGGGAATTGTTAATGACCTGCTTTGTCCATTCTCCTAGGAACAAGTAATACTTTGCAGGGAAGCAAATAAAACGTGTGCGAAAGAACCAGTTGGGCTTCTATTACTGTCAGGTGACGTAACATGAAGTTTGTTGCCAAGTGCAACCAGTGTCTGTTTGTTTTTCTTCAGGTCAGTGAATTGGGATTCTATTAAAGGCACAGTGAGTAATGTTTTTACTTGTTTAATATCAAATTCTGTGTGTCCGTTCGTTCACAACCTTTTTCATTTTTCATTAATATGTCACCATCTTCTATTCTAAATATTCCCATTAGCTTATATACATAAGCTGTGGTCGACGCCCCACAGACATGTGCCATCTTGAAATACGATAGCTGTTTAGGGGCATGAAAGATAAAACGCTCCGCTATATATGAAAGTCCTCTTTTCTCCAGACTTTGTGCGAAGGTGGTGCCAGTTCTCTCCTTGTCTTCTTTATGTGTCAATTTTTGCTCCTTCCCCTCAAGCTGCTTGCTCTGCTATAACCACACATGTGATTTGTGGATTGAAAGCTGGAAGTCGTTGATGACTGTGGTGGTGCATGCACAGCCGTGGGGGTGAGGGAGACAGGTGACACGGTGGTAGACACTAAGTGGCAGCAATAGACAAGACGCAGCTGTTGCGAAAGACTGATCAGACCCGTTCTACATATATTCCTGGACTGAGGGCTCTCAATTCCTCAACTCAACTCAAGCTTTATTTCTAAAAAGCCTTAAAGGCACAGGGGTGACACCAAAGCACTGTACAGACAGACAATGTATTAGCAATAACAGGATTAAAACAAGAATAAAAATAAATACTAAAAAAAGAAATAAAAACAACATACAAATTGCACTAATAAAAGAAAATAAAAGCAGACTAATGGGCTCGACACACGGGAGATGACATCGCCTCTCCTCCATTCATTTTCAATGAGACATGCGCGACAAAGCGATAATCGCGGATCTCCCTCCTACCAAGCGAAACGCGAAAAACGTGCGTGTGAAATTTTGCGCTCGTGCACGTGTCGTGCACAGGTGACCCAGCGACGCGATCCCAGAAAGTTGAAACATTTTCAACTTTTCATCGCTGTCGCTCAGACGAGGACCAATCAACGGAGGTTTCATTCACTGACCAATGAGCGGACAGGATGCTCTGTACACCTCCGAGCAAACATGAAGGAGAAGTTGATTATTATTATGTTTTATATAGTAAAATCACAAGTAACATTTCACATAACTCTAGCAGCACCTTGTGAAACATCATATCTACCACTTTATTAACTCTGAACCGCTTAAATAACTTTAATTCCCCTGGCTGCGGATCGCCTCCCATGTGTCAGGTAATAAAAGCGACGGCAACAAATTTAGCTGATCTCGGTCGTTTGTCGCCTCCCGTGTGTCGAGCCCATAATGGCCATGGGTAAAGGCCAGATCAAATAAAGTCTTTAGACTGACCTTAAAAACTCACGGATGGTAAAGTACGCACATTAAAGGGTAACTCATTCCAGAGTTTCAGGCCTGCCACAGAAAAAGCCGTGTCTCCTCTTGTCTTTAAACGAGTCCTAGGAACTCGGATTAGGAGGCTACTGTCGGAGCGGAGTGCCCGTGCTGGTGTACATGGATGTATCAGTGTCTGCAAATATGCAAGAGCCAGTCCGTCGTCGTCTTCCTCCGCTTACCCAGGTCCGGGTCGCGGGGGCAGCATCCCAACTAGGGAGCTCCAGACCGTCCTCTCCCCGGCCTTGTCCACCAGCTCCTCCGGCAGGACCCCAAGGCATTCCCGGACCAGATTGGAGATGTAACCTCTCCAAAGTGTCCTGGGTCGACCCGGGGACCTCCTGAGCCAGTCCATTTAACGATTTAAAAACCAATTAAAGGACTTTAAAACGAATCTGGAAATCCACATGCAGCCAGTGCAAGGATTTCAAGACCGGAGAGACATGATCAAATTTCTTTTTTCCCACCAAAAATCTACCAGCCGCATTTTGCACTAGCTGCAGCCTTGCCAAAGTTGCCCTGGTCACTCCAAATAGGATGGAATTACAATAGTGCATCTGTGTTGTAATAAAAGCATGAACTACTATTTCCAAGTGGTGTCTTGTCAGGAATGGGTTTTATTTTAGCTAAACAGTGCAGATGATAAAAAGAGGTGGACACGATTCCATTTACATGGGGATCAAAACCCAAGGCACCCAAGAGAGAAGCTAACTGCAGGAAGCAGCAGAAACAGGAAATAATGCGTGCAGACGGTGGAAAGCTGGTGTGTGGCATTTCTTTGTGACCCCCAAAACAGCTGTAGCTCTCCTCTGCAGCTGTGAGTGCACCATGGCGTTCACCGCCACAAGGACATATTGCACCTTTGATGCATGTGGTCTACTGTAGCCCAATGCTTAACTGTGTAGCGCTAGAGTCTAATGTTTTAACACATTGTGCATGTAAATTTTTAAATGATTACTGAAGGTAATTTATTGTGTGTGAAATAGAAAATTTAAAGGGATTCAGAAAAATAGACACTTTTTTAAAAATGTGTGTACATTACTCTTACCTTTAACCATGAGAACGTGGGAGTATGTCGTAGTCCTGCCGGTGACGGCATTGTACGCCTCACAGGTGTACGTCCCAGAGTCTTTGTACAAAGCATTCTCGATAATAAACTCATTTGTTTTGGTATTCAGCACGGTGCCATTTAGCTTCCAGGTGATGTTTGCGGGAGGGATGGACGCGGCGGCACAGGTGAGCACCACGCGTTGGTCCAGTTGTGCTTGATTGTCACCTTCCACTTTGGCTGGTTCAGGCCCATCTAACCACCAAGGGACAATAATATAATCAAGATTCAATTAATAAAATTAAGTCATTAACTTGTAATTACGAAAAAAAAAAGAAAGAAAGCAAACCCTTACAGATTACCACCATCTTGTAGAAATCTTCTTTTTTACTGACTGCGTTGCGTAGCCTGCACGTGTAGAGTCCATTGTCTTCTTTCTTTAGCAAGCTGATAAAAACTGAGCTTTTGTCACTGGAAATCACCACGAGGGGGCCGGAAACCAGAGGTTTGTCATCCTTTAGCCAGGTTATTTCCGTCACATTGCCCGACATTGCCTGGCAGCTGAGGTTGGCCGAGCTGTTGCCGGCGATGAGGACACCGGATGGGTAGGTAATTTTAGCACCTGAAATAGGCTCTGTGAGCAAGAAAGGGAGGAAAGATCATATTATTATTTATTCTTTGGCATAAATTTATTTTAATTTTAATCTAAATTTACTTAGGGTTTGTTGGACACCGATCATACGGGTGCTTCCAGTTTGGTACCAGTTGGCTTTTCGTTGCATAATGAAAAAACATTTTCACTTCACAGTTCACGAAACTAAATAACCCTGATGTGGTTATGCTGCGTCTCAATTCTTCCTAAACTATGATACCATGGGTAACTATGATGTATTATAAAACTGATGTTGCTATGGTAATTTATTACACAATAAAAAAAAACGTCTCTAAAGAAAAACAAACTGATACCAGCCACAAAAGTCTCAAAGTTTTTAGTTATGGTTTACAGATCTGAGGAAAATAAAACCAATATTGTGTTTCTAATCTAAAATGTAGTTGTTTTTATTCAAGCACTAAAATCTTTCAGATGAGTTTGTGTTGAGGGTAGGGGGCAGGTCTGTCTGCACACTAAAATCTAGTGACCATAATATTAAAAATTAGGGATGGACAACGTATTGGCATCAATATCGGTATCGGCCGATGTTAGTCATTTTTATACATATCGTCATCGGTCCGATTAATAAAACCGGGCCACAATTAACCAATATTTTTTCCATCTTGTCTCCATTTGATTGCCTGTTTCAGATGGTGAGGGGGTGATGTGTAACTGTTTAGTCATGTGAACAGTGAATGTAATCATCTCAAAAGCGTAAAAGTGTGGAGTGTGTGTGCATAACAATGTGAATTCAGCCTTAATAATTTTCTTTTTATACAAAATAGCTGATTTTGGAATCATTAATGTCAGTATATCGGCATCTGCAAATATCGGTTATCGGTCACTGAAGTGGTCTTAATATCGGATATTGACATCGGTCCAAAAATGTCCTATCGGTGCATCACTATTAAAAATACAACCTATTTAATACATTGTTGGTTGTTTTGCATGTCTTTTGCATTTAAAAGAAATGTGGCAACCTGTTTTCCTACTAAATAGTGATCTAATACTCTGCACATGTGCAGTAGTGCACATTTAGGTTTATGTGATTTGTTAAATTGTGCGTGTTTCTGCTGAGTCACACACAGATTCCACAAATATTTCATGAACAACTGGATGACTTAAAAAAAACTCAAAGTCACTTTGGTTAAATTTTAGAGTCAAACTGATTCAAGATGGCTGCTGCAGCTACTTCATATTAGCCCAAACAAAAATTGCTCTGTTATTTTTACAAATACTGAACTTAAATGTTGTGTGATTGTAGCAGAGTCATCCCTACGTACAAGAACCACACTAACTGTGCAAAATCTTTAAAAAAAAAAAAAAGAAGTTTTTTTTAAACTAGTGAGCAGCCATTTTTCCTAAAGTCACACCAAGTCAAACTGAAACAAAAGATGACTGAAGGTTCCTCTTAAATACATAGTTGGTGATTTCATACTTCAGTACTGTTTCAACCTGCCAAATACCTTGAGTCATCATAGTGCGATGTAAAGTCAAGTCCTTTTTGAACTATGCCTCACTGTTCTTCTTATGTTCTCATCACACACAAAAAGAACCAGAGACTCTTCAGGGCGACGGGTAAGACTATCCACCAACCCAACAGGTTTTAGAAAAACACAAAGAAAACTCCAGTCTGGAAAACATCCTGAACAATCAAGAGATAAGGGAGTCAAGTTAGAGCAAACGCCTGTTTTTCTCTGTGCATGCAAGTGGTCATGCACTAAAAATGCATTCTGGTATCAGCCTGTGAATGTTCATTTAACAGGCTTGAGCTGCTACAGCATGTTGCAGGGTAGAACGTTTAATCGCTCACCTGGGAGGTGAAAAACCCTTAAATTTAGATCTAAGTTCAGTTTGGCTAAGTAATATGTATTTACTAAGCATGTAAAAAGCTGCTATAAAGGCTTTTCTTTAATTTGTAAAATAAATAACTGATGTACGGTGCACAAGAGTAAAACTGTAGTAGATTTTTTTTTTCTTTTTTTTTTTAACCAAAGTTTAAATTTAAATCAAGAATCCCAAACATGTAAGAATGCTGAACATTTTTGTGGGCTAAAATCTTTACTTTTACTCAAAGCAACACAATTAAAAATGTGATTTAATTACATGAATGAAGCTACACTTGTTTCAGTACGGCCTCCAAATAAAAGTTGTGAATCGCTGCCTTAAAAGCAAACACTCCCAAAGTAACTGGAGACCTCTGGCGTTGCTCAGAAATGTCAAACTCAAACTTGGAAGATTCCCAAAAAGCTACTCACCCATCACTGTGAATCGAACAGCAGCAGAAGAGGCCATCCGGCTGGTCTTGGCGTTTTGGGCTCTGCAACTGTAGTCACCTATTCTCTTCCCAAATCCCTGCTCCTCTATGGTTTTTAAGGTGAGGATTGGACCGGTGGCCTTGATTGGGGTCGTGTTGTGAAACCAGGTGAAGGTGGCAGGCGGGCTTGAGGTGGTCGAACAAGTCAGGTTGAAGTCAGTTTTGGACTCTATGTACTCCGTAGGTTTCAGGGGGGTGATGAAGACATTGTCTGGTCCATCTGTAGAACATTAAAAATACATTTTTATGCGATCTAGTACAAAATAAGATAAGATAAGATAAGATAAGAGAACCTTTATTAGTCCCACAAGTGGGAAATTTGTTTCGTTACAGCCAAAGTAAAAGTTATGCATCAGAGGGAGAAAACACTAAAATACAATAAGTCCAATTGTAATGAGATAAAATAAACTCAAAAATACCTTAAAAATTGAGTAAAAAATAACCATACTATATCCAGCTTAGAAATACAGATGACACTTCATCCAACAGTTTTGTTGTAGAGTCTGACAGCAGTGGGGAGGAAAGACCTCCGGAATCTCTCTGTCCCACACCTTGGGTGCCGCAATCTCCCACTAAAAGAGCTGCTCATAGCTGTCAAAGTCACCTGCATGGGATGGGAGATAATATCCAACAGGGATGACAGTTTAGCTGTCATTCTCCTGTCACTCACCACCTCCACAGGGTCCAGGGGGCATCCTAGAACAGAACTGGCCCTGCGGATCAGTCTGTTCAGCCTCTTCCTATCCCCCCGCAGAGATGCTGCTGCCCCAGCAGACCACACCATAAAAGATGGCCGAGGCCACCACAGAGTCATAAAAGGTCTTCAGGAGAGGGCCCACAACTCCAAATGACCTCAGTCTCCGTAGTAGGTTTGCATGCATGATTTTAGAGACTTTTCCTTTCATTTTTGCCACAATTCAGCATTTTCTAAAGAAACAACTGATTTTCATTGTCAGATTGTAAGATTCCTTACTTTTTAATGTACAGCGTGACCAGGTTAAACTGTACTGAATGTTGCTGATTAATTAATTACAGGACTGAGCTGCGGTTGGTGTGGTTCGGCTGCCTTTCAGGTTATTCATGCTGAAGGAGAGGGGGTGTAGGCCGCTCTGTACACACTGTGGTTTTAGCTTGAGAGCACAGGTTGAAAGGGAGTGCCCGGCAAACACACAGCAGTAGCAACAACTAGACAGCTATGATATTTTAAAAAAGACAAAAACAAAAAAAACTGAATTTGAGAAGGATTTAAGACTTAGCACGGCTAGCTCCAGACACAATGTCCATGCTCCTGCATGGGTGTGACTCGGAGTAATGAAAAGATAGATTAAGTATTTATAACAAATGGCCTGCTGGGGTGGAGTGACAGCCACTGGCTCATAGGTGACCTTTTGATGTCAAACAGGTGTGGAAGTCATTCAGCCAAGTGCAACATGCCAAACAATGGAAACTCAAAGGAATGAATGGAGACTGCTGATAACTGTCTAACTGCCACAGCTGAGAAGTGCAGAAATATCAGGACACGATTATTCACAATCATCCTGCATACCAGGACGTTTAGAGTAAATGTTATGAACATGCGTCCTTGTTATGCAGCAGACTTGGATAGTAATCTGCTGAATGTGGATGTGCGTGCAGAACAAAAGACCCATTGCACTTGCTTTTCGTGCATTTTCATACCTACAGTCAGTGTGTTTACATGCACATCCAAGTCGATTTTGGGTCCATCTAAAGAAATAAACTGGGAGCCTTCATCCTAGTTTACATGTACGTTAGAAAACCGATCTCTCAAATTGAGTTCATTCCACTCCGGTACAGTAGGTGGCAACATTCTTCCAGTTAGCTTATAGCAGCACAAATAGTAAACAAATGCTGGCGGGAGTGAAGCAGGCGGAGTTAAAACAAGATATACAAAATGGCCGAAGGAATGGACAACACTGCAGCACAGCTTTTTTGGTTTGTTCTGTACTGTTTGATGCTGTTGCATGTGTTACTGTGGCGATAATATTATCAGACAATCACTTCCGGAAGTTACAGGTATCAGCCCCACTGAGCCGTTCACATGCAGATCTAGTCCTTTCCCTAACGTACTATCTAGGAGCTTCAACACGATTAAAACCAGTTTGCCTTCAGCAAGACTAACGTGTTTACATGCATTAAAAATATATCCTTTTTTTTAAGTTAAAGTCCCATAGTCATCATCACACACTGGTGAAATTCATCTCTGTGTTTGACCCATCCCCATGGAGGAGGGCAATAAGCTGCAGCGGTGACGGCACTCGGGAACTATCTGGGGGTTGAACCCCTAAACCAACCCCTTAAAGCTGAGTATCAAGTAGGGAAGCATCAGATTCCATTTTAAAAAGTCTTTGGTATGACCCGACCGGGAATCAAACCCCAATCTCCCAGTCCCAGGGCAGACACTCTACCACTAGGCCACTGAGCTGGTTATTTAAGGGAACAATTCAGTTTTCTAGTACACATGTAAACACATTTAGTGTTTAGTCAATTTAAGTCGAACCCTGCACTGTTAAACCTCTTGGTGTGGTTTGTTTGTGCAGTTGTGAACAGAGAAATAACATCCCTACTAACACAGGCAAGACGCAAGTCTGAGCCAAATGCCCTCCTGTAGCCAGATTTGTGTTGCATTCTGGGATTTAGGAGGGCAAACCCATGTCTGTAGCAACCAAGTAGCTCAAAGCTAGCTGAAAACGACTCTAGTCTCCAATCAACCACAGCTTAGTTTCATTGGTTGCCAATCTCACCCAAATTCATCCCTTCTTTATCATATTTTCTAACTCGGACAAACAGTTTCAAAAGTGGTTTATGATGCTCATGACAACTCTAGAACGTTTTAGAAATAAATATAGTCTTTTGAAATATCAAACGGGTTTAAAATTCAGACACCAACACATTGTTCATTGTGGGTCGCCAACAGTATAAGCAAACTTAAAATGTTAGCTTCATGTGCTCATAATCTGCAGAACTGTCAAAGGGTAGGGGAATTACTTACAGTAAACAGTGAGGTTAAAAGCAGGGCTCTGAGCACTTTGCAGTGAGTTTTCAGCTTTGCAGAAGATGGGACCCATCAGGTCTGACCTGAGCACATCTTTGATGGTGAGCTTACTGGAATTGTCCGTCTGTGATTCAATCCAAGGAAGAAAAATCGATAACACAGCAACAAACAACTTAATCCTGTTATATAGAATGGTCATGTATTCCAGTGTTTAGCTGCAGATAAATAAAGGAGCCAGTTAGGTTTGGAGTTGCAAGTAATGTTAAATAAAACCAAACATTCATATTGTTCCCTTAGATGTGTAAATAAAACAAACAAGCACAATCAAACGATGTTTAAACTCACATCTGTGAACGTCAGCCGTGTCCCGTCAGCCACGATGGGCGAGGTGATGTTGGTCCAGGAGAATTTCAAGAAAGAGCCTGAGGCAGAACATGTGAGAACCACGGTGCTGTTTTGCTCGATGGCTTCAGGAAGGTCAGACTTGATGACTACATTAGACACCGGATCTGCAAAGACATAAAGTTAATGTAACAATATATATATATTTTTTTACCAGAACAGAAAAGGGGCAACATGCTGGTGCAGTCTCTGGGCACCGTTGCCTCGCAGTGAAAAGGCTGTGGGATCAAATCCCAGTTGTGGCGTTTTGGCTTGGAGTTTGCATGTTCTCCAGGTATTCCTGCTTCGTCCCACAGGCCAAAAACTTGCATGTTTAGCTTAACTGGTCACTCCAAGTGGTCCTTAGGTGTGGATGAGTGAGTACCCTCTTTTATGTAGCCCTGTAATGAACTAGAGAACTGTACAGGGTATACCCCGACTCTAAGCTGATCACTGCTAGGGATGGGCACCAGCTCCCCTCAACCTTACTCAGGAATAAGCATCATGGGAGATGAGATAGAATAGAATAATGGATGAAACCAAGAATCCATCACTTTCTTTGGTGATTAAATTTAACTCCAGACAAAAAAAAAAAACACTGATTACTTTTAGAAGTTTGAGAATTTAATAACATGAACACATGGGGCTGTTTGGTGAATAAAATCAATGAAAATAACTAAATTACTGCCACAACTAGACCAGATAAACTAATCCTAGAGTCATAACTTTGCTTGTAGCTGCCTGTTAAGCAATAGTGGGTGTGGGAACAGAGGGAGTGGCAACTGTGACCTCGAAGAGCTCATCCTAACTTCACACAGTAGCTACTTTGGAAAGTTGGTCTGTCTGCTGCTTGGCTGAGAATGCTGGATAACTGACCACATTTTCTCACTCTTGGCTTTCCTTCACATTTTTTTTTACAATGCTGCTTTTATCTGTCATTTTTATCTTTCCATAGTACCGATGACTGGCCCAGTCCAGATCCATGCCTGTTGAGGTGGCCCACCCAACTTGAGAATGTTTCGGCTGGAGCTCTCCTACTGAAAGGCAGTTTTCTTTTCCGCCATCACCCAATTTCTCATGCATGCTCAATGTGGGGGGTTGCACTGAAGTAATGATTTGATGCAATCTCTTGGTGTTCTAGATATCTCAATGCTTTACGAACCTTTTCTAATCTAAACCTGCTTGCATTACAAATCACAGTTGTGTTAATCTTGACTTGTGTCCAAATGAATTGCATTGATTGCTTTCTGTAAAGTTCCTTGACATTATATTTGCTAGGAACTGGAGCCACTTTTACTAAAAAGGTTTATGTTGTGTTTTATACTTCTAACCTCTGACACAGTCTAACCAAATGGATGAAACATTGTTTTGTCTCCATTTTAATCCAATTACTCTATATTAAAGTAAAACATTTTAAGAAAATGTTAAAATAAGTTTAAAAATGACACCTGATCATAGGTAAGTAGAACCAACTCTTCCAGGTATCTACAGTATGAGGAGCCACACCCATAGCAGAGTGTTTTTCTAACTTTAAAAACAATATATATGTATACATATGTACAAGTATTATGGCTTATATACACGTCTCAAGCACACTACATGGAGTAGGAAACAAAAAAGTACGACTAATATTTTTACTTTCTGGCACCAAACGTCGTGGTTAAAAGTTTCTCTAGTTGCTAAGCGACGCTTTTTCTTGAGGTGAGTTTCTGGGTGGCGGAGGGATACCTGCTCCGCGCGCCCAGCCCACGCGCGCATTACGATTTCACGAGTGGAAACGTTCAAATAAACATCCTGGAAAACAAGCAAACACACGGAAGGACTCACCCAGGACTCTGACTTTAATCTCTCCGGTTAAAGTGTCTCCATCTCCTATAATGCTCACGCTGTATTCTCCGCTGTCTTTCGCAGTCAGCGAGGCGAGAGTCAGGTATCCGTTGGTTGTGTTGACGGAGGCTCTTCCTTTGTATGCTGCGTTCACTTGAACCCCGGTAGGACGAAGAGTAGCGACGTTAGTAGCTGTAGCTCCGTTACTGTAACTCCAGACTGTGATGTCGTCTGGCTTCGTCACATAAAGGAGATTAAGGGTCACATTTTGCCCCACAGCTGCATCCTTTGGACCAGGTGGCAGAACACTCTGCGCAAAACAGGACCCTGGAAACGAGCGCAAAAAGTCACGTTAACTACTTGAAACATTTAGAGTGAAAATGGGAATAAATTTCCTACAGAAATGTGAGCATTTGAATGAAGCTTCGCTAAAGTTGCACAAACTAAAACAAAAAACGCAACAAAACAACCCTGTGAAGCTTTCAGACTGATTTAGTAATATAAAATATCCATCAGTGTGCAGATGAAACACATAGTTTATCCTCACCGGTAAAAGAGAGGAGAAAAAGAAGCAGAAAGTCGAATAGATCCATTCTGGACGGTTCAAGTCGTCTAGCAGAAACTCGAGAGCAACAATGCGGCAGTACCTGCTGCTTTTAGTAGGAGACACACCCAGACAAGGTGGAGGCTCCCCCTGGTCTCCGCATCACTCCTACGCCACAACCACGTCCTGACACGGAAATGACGAGTTGTTGTCAATGGTTCTATTTTCCTCTCTTTGCAACGGAATTTCGGCCCGTTCATTATTTATTTATTTAAGTTTACATTTTTAAAAAGATCTTAATTTTATTTCGCAATTGTGGACAGGAGTTATTTAAATAAAATAACCTGCAGCAATGTCTGTCAGTCCTGCATAAACAGTTTCAATACAGCCAAAGTTTTTCATAGGTGTGAAATTTGATAGTTCATAAGCCCCAACATGGAGCTATGCACTCCACACTCTGGCATCTACTTTTCATGTCTGATGTGACAATATTTCCATAATTGCTAATTATAAAAATCATGAAATGTTGTCATATACAAATTTTCAAAATTAATCTTTACATTTTCTATGCGTGAAGTGACACAGACTAATCTCGATAAACAGCCAAGGTAAAAAAAAAAATCTTATTTTTTACATGAATGGGTCAAAAATGAGTTTATATAGCTGATTCCAAATATTATATGTGGTTGGGTTAAAGTTTTATTTTATGAGCATTTACATGATTAAAGTCATTTGAACTGTTTTATTCTGTAACAAGGCATTGGTAGTACAATATGTATCTGTGAAAGTTGTGATCATTAAGGTTTCACTTGGACATTTAGGGTCAGAGAGTTTCAAATTATTCAAAATTACCAACATTCATACATTAAGAATAGGATAAATGCAACATTTAAAGTGGATGTTTAACCTTGTTGTGGTGATGGATAAATACTGAATTAGTCAACAGAGAAGGAAAGCTAAAGTTAAAGTGACAGTGTGTGTTTTTCCTGGTGATGTGGGGCAGTACATTCCTAAATCGTTGCAAGCAAGAAGTATTTTTGTGTTGGAGTGGCCATACAAATGGATGCCCATTAGGGTCAAAAAGCCCTGGGAAGTGCAAACTTCAGCAAAAATAACAAGCACATCAAACTCCCTTTCCTCACTGGCATCAAGTGAAGAGGTAAATGTGTAAAACTACAACATGTAGGAATGGCGAAAGTTTTGAAACCATTTGTTACAAATCAGTAAATACATTTTGTCCTTATGGGCTCCTGTAAAAGAAACATGAAGTCCAATATGGCATTGCCCAGAGACTTAGACCCGCCCCCATGTGTTTTAGACCTGATTTTTATGGGCATCATTTAATTAATTTCCAACAACATTTTGATGGATATTTCCAGAAATTACTGGTTAAAACTACACATTGTGTCATTAAGTATGTACTGCCCACTATCACCAGGAAAACTACACACTTTAAATTATACATCTTTATTGGACTGTCTGACTAGAGATTAGTTTTCGTTCTTTCTTTACCTTTTTCTCAAAATACATCTAATAATCATTGCAACCCTTTCACCTGAAAACCTAGACAGACTGTATGGGAAGAAAAATGATTTTGCTCTGCATGTCAGTGCTGCCCTCTAGTGGATCTGTAAAAAATGTATAATCCAACGGAGAAGCAGGGACCCTAGTAGAATTTAATGATCAATAAGATAAAAGATGCTACTTGTTTACAACACTCATTTGAGGACGTTTGTATTTTGGACACAATCACGATAGGAGTAAACAAAATACACGTTTGTCAGAAGAGGAAAGCCAGTAGACAACAAATAATTCTCAGCAGCAGAAACCAGCCTTCACTGTTTACAGATAACTGAGTTTATGTTTCAAAGCAACCAGTTTTATCTAGTTTTAATATGTTCTGTCATGCATAAGTGCCTCGTGATTTTTATCTTGAGAGGCGATATCTAAAAAGACTTCTTCTTCTTCTTCTTCTTCTTCTTCTTCTTCTTCTTCTTCTTCTTCTTCTTCTTCTTCTTCTTCTTCTTCTTCTTCTTCTTCTTCTTCTTCTTCTTCTTCTTCTTCTTCTTCTTCTTCTTGTTGAAATATTTATATGTCCATGGTTGAAAGTCTTAAAATGGCAATAATTTGTTCCCACAGAATTCCACTAGGGGGCAGCACCATGCTGTGAAATGTATTCACTTTGAATCTTTTTATTTATTTTTTGTTCTTGATTGGATTTTACGATTTCAATTACAAATGTTACAATATATAATTATTATATGATTAATTTATTTATTCTGTGGTATGTTCAGTACAATAGTTACAGTAATTGATGATTTATTCAATTAGTTCCATTGAACAAGGTCAAAAAGGGGAATATTGACTAAATTGATCAGACCAGAACAAAGAGTTAAATTAATGAATTTATGATAATAAATGACTTAAAATCTAATGTTAATTTCCCCCTTTTACAGAAAAATTCCCCATTAGTATTCATTACAGTTTCTAGTCATGGAAATGAGACGACACTGAAGAAGATAACAGAGAAAGTCTCACGTTGACGTGGAAGGGTACTGAACTAAAAAAAGATGAATGTTAAATATCATTATACATCTTTTAAAAATCTATTGAGTTCTAATTTTTATGTGGTTGGTGTACTTTTAGGAGTTCTTTATTGTTATTATATTTTTTTATTTTTTCAACTCAAAGAAATCATATAAAGAAGAAAAAAGTCAAATTGTAACTCTTTTTGTTATTGATATAATTCAGGCACCACTGACCAGGGTACAGATAGAACAACACTTGGTTCTGTATGGCGCCAAGAAGGGCTTTCATATTTCTCCAATCCTGGTTGCCCTTCACTGGTGTCTGGTCGGTAAATTTTAAAAATCTTCATTTTGAATGCAAGGTTTTGCAGAGTGCCCGCCCTCCCTATGATACCCTACACCTATGCATTCCCTCACCAGCCCTTTTTTCAGCTGCAGCTAAAGCTGCCAATGCCATGTCTGAAATAATTTTCTCCATCACGGCGCTCAAACTCTGGAATGTAGAAGACATATTTTAATCTAATAATGTAGCATGATGCATGTTTGTCTGCTTTCATATGTTTGTAGGACTTTGGGTTATCATGAGCGTTGGTGAAAACTACATAAATAAAGGTGATGATGATGATGATGATGATGATGATGATGATGATGAAGGGAATGGTTTCATTAAAATGAATGTTCTTATTTATTCTGTAAATTATTGTATAGTTTGAGTGGTTTTAGTTCTTTTTCTGTCTCAGATAAGGATTTAAGAAATAATACATTTTAAAACTATTTCAGTTGCTTTTATTTTGTGGATATGTTCATCTGAACATGAATACAAGCTCATCATATTTGAGCTGTTGTACATTGGAGGGAAAAATAGATGCAAACTTACTGTTATTATTATTATTATTATTAGTAGTAGTAGTAGTAGTAGTAGTAGTAGTAGTAGTAGTGGTAGTAGTAGTAGTAGTATTAATATTTACAATCTAAGCATTTTTTTGTTTGAGTGCAGCTGTTGAAACATTTTTATTTGATAGGGCCTACGGTTAAAATCTGATGTTAGCCTAAATCTGGACAAGTGGGGGAGTACAGGGAGGTGGAGTGTACAGTCGGTAAATATGGCTCTCCCTTGCCCTGCCTCCAACATGCCTCCATCTAAATAGGATAGATTATCTAGAGTTATCTCTGTAGTTATGCTGCTATAGGCTTAGACTGCTGGAGGGCACACTGACCATTTTCCACACTCGACTACTTTCTTCTACAATCTGCTCTTTAACTGTATTATTTTCTGCTATTTCAGCTGCTAACTTTATTTTCTCTCTAAGTGTTTTTCTCCCCAGAAGAAGCTACAACGATGTTCTGCTGAGCTGTGGTGGCCTCATGGAGGGGGCCATCGTCTAGCACACTGCTGCTAACCACTTAAACATTCTCCCTCTCCTGATAATAACTTTTTACTTCCTTTGACGTTGGATGTGCTACTACTAGTTTATCCGTTTAATTATAGATTCACTAGGATAAATACAATAAATGGGGCAGGTGTAGCTCAACAGGCTTGCAGTAATTTTTCCTCTTATTGATCTCATTAATCACATTAAAATCAACATTAAAAATGTGAACAACAATTTATTTTGAGCTGATGGAAAATAGTCCAGCGATCTGTTCTGTGTCTGATGTAGAGATAATAATCATGGTCATTTACTCATCTGGAGGTTTTCTTCTCATTATTTTAGACAAACTGAGATCAAAGGTGAATAAAGATCTTTGTGATTCTGTCAACAAAACTTTAGAAAATAAACAAACAAAAATCTAATGATGGATTTTTAGTTTGTTAGCATAGCATAGCATAGTTTATTTATATAACACATTTAAATGCAGCATGGGAGCTGCCCAAAGTGCTGCACAGGCTAAAACAAAACACAACCATTTGAAAGAACTAAAACAGAGGATAAAAATCCCAATCAAAAGCAGATAAAACATGATGAATACTAAGAACACATTAAAACAATGATACAATAAAACACTAAAACGAGTCACTGTCTAAAAGCCAAAGTGTAAAAGTGGTTCTTTAAACGAGATTTAAAAACCGCCAGATATGGAGCCTGCCGAACTCCAATGGGCAATGAGTTCCATAGCTTTGGGGCAGCATGCACAAATGCTCTTTCACCCTGCAATTTGAATCGCATCCGCGGCGTGCACAGCAGCAAAAGGTCAGCCGACCTCAACGTGCGCGTGGGTACATATGGAGTGAGAAGGTCAGAGAGATAGGGAGGTGCCAGGTCATTGAGAGCTTTAAATACAAAGGTCAATAACTTAAACTGCACTCTGAAAATGACAGGGAGCCAGTGAAGAAGTTCCAGGACAGGAGTATGTGTTACAGAAGAACTTACTGATTTTTTATTAGATATTTTAAATGTTTGTGTAGTTTAGGGATTAATATATAATAATTAACTGTTTAACATTGATTAGGTGTTTTATTATTTCAGTCATTTAAACATTTTGTTACTTATTATATGAAGTAGTTAAATTTTACTAGAGTGTAATTTTAAGGGAAAACCTTAAATTACTAAACAAGTTTCAGTTAAGAAGAAAGTGATTTAAAAGCTTTTCATTTTAATTTAAGGGTGTTGAGGGTCTGCCCTCATGAGAAATTGCTACTCAGTATTTTCTCCAAAAGACTGTGTCATTTGCTCTGAAAAGCTGGAATATATTCCAGCGCCAGCATGCCCTCATGAGGAAATACTATGCAGTAATTTCTCCAAAAGACTGTTATCTGCACTCTGAAGAGCATAATAAAACATCAGCACCAGCTACTACTTCATTTCCCATGATTCCTTGAGCCAGAAGCAATGTGATGACGTCACCGCCGAATACCGGAAACACGTTCTGCGTATGCGCCGAACCACACGGAGACAGCTGGAAGCTATAAATTCTAGCAAAACGAAACCTAACTCTGTTCTTTTGTCCAGTTTAACTGGTGGTGAAGGACACGCTGGTTGCTACGGCTCCGGACAACGTGAGCACGTGGGAGGCCTGGCTGCTGAAGTGGATCGAACACAGAACCGCTGAAAAGCAGTGGAAACCCATCAGATCTGCTCTCCTGGTGCTGATGTGTGGGAAATCGCTCGCTGCTACGACTCCGGACGTGTGAGGAAACAGAACTGCTGGAAAGCAACGGAACCACCATCTAATCAGCGCAAAGAACAAAGGGACGCCTTGGTTCGCTAACGCAAGAGTTTGATTTTTATTTTATTTTTCTCTCTCTCTTCTTCTCTTTCATCTCTTCTAGACCAAAGTAAGTGATCAAACCACAGATCGTTTTAAAGTAGAACCGGTTTTCTCTTCTCCGTACCAAAAAACGCCATCGGATCCTTTTAAGAGTAAGCCGTTTTGTTGTTTGTCATTGTTTAATATCTTAAATAGTTTTTATGCTGTGGCCAGGCTGACAAACTATCAGATATTCATTTATGATTGATCTTTTGTGTTGTTTCTTGATCGTTTTGAAGTGTTTTGAGTGAATTAAGTTTAAGTTACTGTGATTGAAAGTGCTTCGGAAGTTTAAAGTGCAAGTTGCCCACACACACACACACACACACACACACACACACACACACACACACACACACACACACACACACACACACACACACACACACACACACACACACACACACATTCTGGTTTTCCCTGTTTAGGGGGACACACACACATACTTGTTTTTAGTGTTTGGGGGACTCAAGCTAAAACACACACTTACTGGGTCAGATTGTTTTACATTATTATTTCATTGTTTAATTACTTGTTATTCATTTGATAAAATCAGTTGGTTGATATTGATTGATTAAAGCTTCAGAAGGAGCTGAAGTGATGATATTAGAATGATGATATGGAATGGAAATATTAGTTAATAAATGTATAGCCAATTAAAGGAGACATAACATGAAAACCCCACTTTTTTATCCATTAACACAGTGTGTTTCACATTTTAAGTGTCTAAATGAGCAAAAAAGGCTTATATTATTCACTGGAGTTGCTATTTAGATATTTAATAATTAAGTTTTGGGCATATTTGTCCACCCGTTCAGTTTTTCAAATTATCTATTACATCAGTAATTTATTTCGTCAGGATAACTACCAAATATGGTAATAGCCCTCGGCTAAACACAGAGCCAATCTGCCATTTTTTCTTCTCGCTAAGATTTTTTGTAGTCCTATTGGAAAAATGCAGAATGTCTGGTTATTTTAGCCACACACAGCTCAAAACTGTTCCTCGTTTTAAGGAAGGGTGGTGTGGCAGTATTTAAACCCAGGAGCTGATGACACTACTGCTAAAAAAACACAGAAGTTGTGTGTGTGTGTGTGTGTGTGTGTGTGCGCGCGCGGTTCGTTCGTTCGTGTCTCCAGGCTAGTGGCTAAGTACTGAGGGCTTCATCTATCTAAAAGGAGTTATTTCCATCTGAATGTGGCAGCGACGGGACACAGCAGCAGAGCGGTAAGCTTCATATCACTCTAAAATGTCGACAAACTTTACTTTAGATTTACGGGCATTAGCAGCACTAAAGCGTTAGCATCCGACTTGCTATCGCTAGCACAGTATGCTAGTAAAGTTAGCACCCAGATTAATGTGGATTTGGCCGATTTTCGTGGAATAAGACGTGATCTGGGATTTCTGTTCAACAGAACAACAGATGATAACCTTCCACTAATTGTAGCAGCAGAGAGCCTGTGTGTTATTCTACGTGAGTGTGATGTAATCTTAGCATCCAGTAAATAAAGTCCCATATCAGCTAAAATGCAGCGTGACAAAGTCATTAAAGTGCATCAACACAGTGGATTTAATAGAGTTTTAAAGAACAATCTCTGAGTGATGTGAGGTTAGTTTTTTGTCTCACTGCAGATATAAAAACTAACTCTGCATCAGTCAGACGCAGCAAAGCTCACCGTCTGTATCAGCGTGAGCGTCGGAAAGCTGATAAAATCAGCTGTAAAATAATTGAAACAAAAGTAAAAATGCTCCTTTGCTTTTTAGAGTCCACATCCAGAAGGCTGGAGCCGTGTTTCACTGACAGGCTGTCAGACTAACGCCCTGATGAGCTCAGCTGGGACAAACTGGTTTGATGTTTAGGTAAGTGAAGATCTGCTTCTCCAAGGCCTTGAGATGCTAGTAAAAAATAATTTAGCCAGCTTGCTAATGTTACTTTTCTTCTCCTCTAAGGAACACAGAACGTTCAGATGTTGGAGCTTCACGTCACCTACTGAAGAAGGAGACCCACCAGTAAAGAGACGGTCTGGACCAGACCAAAGTGAGTGATGACACACCTCAGCCATCCTCATCATTAAGAACACCTCACCCCCTGAATCACTCTGTCTGATGACAGCAGAGTGATTTATTTGATGTTTTACTTGTTTAGTCTGTTTAGAAATTATTGAATTACATTACTTTCTGTAAACAACCATCTGATCTGGACATGTACAGAATAACTTTCCCCAAATTCAGCAGCAGCTGGCCTACAAAAACAGCTGCAGCATGTAGTAAGTCTGTCTGCACTGCTCTCTAATGGGCTCGACACACGGGAGGCAACATCGCCTCTCCTCCATTCATTTTCAATGAGACATGCACGACAAAGCGATAATTGCGGGTCTCTCCCTACCAAGCGAAACGCGAAAAACGTGCGTGTGAAAGTTTGCACTCGTGCACGTGTCGTGCACGTACGACCCAGTGACGCAATCCCAGAAAGTTGAAACATTTTCAACTTTTCATCGCTGTCGCTCGGACGAGGACCAATCAATGGAGGTTTCATTCACTGACCAATGAGCGGACAGGATGCTCCGCACATCTCCGAGCAAACATGAAGGAGAAGTTGATTATAATTATGTTTTTTATATAGTAAAATCAGAAGTAAGATTTCACATAACTCTAGCAGCACCTTGTGAAACATCATATCTACCACTTTATTAACTCTGAACCGCTTAAATAACCTTAATTCCCTCCAACCTGGCACAGCCAAACAAAACTACGGAAGTTTCGATTTTGCCATGGAACAGAACGCGTAGACGGCGTTGCCGCTGCCGCGGATTGCCTCCCGTGTGACAGGTAATAAAAGCGACAGCGACAAATTTCGCTGATCGCGGTCGTTTGTCGCCTCCCGTGTGTCGAGCCCATAATGAGCTTCCTTTCATAAGGAATCATTCGTATAATTTTAGTGTCACTATATTATTACATCTGTAGGAAAATATGAAGTCACTGCAGCAAAGTGAACTTGTAAACAAAGTAAACCAAAACAACACAAACGTGACTATAAACATGAAAGCTAAAGAACCAACTTTCCTAAAGCTGCTTGTAAACAAAATATGTCACTAAAGTTATTGTCTATCATTGCAGAATATGGTGATGACATCATGGAACTGGTCATTGGAAAAGTTTTCCCTAAACCAACTCCGTTTCTAGATGAGGTAGAGAAGATCAGCATCTCACCAACCCTCTGGTCTCAGTATTCAGACAACGGAGGTCTCCCACTGTTATCCAGGACCAGTTTGAAGCCCACATACTGCCCCTCCCTCATCATCAGGAAACATCAGTTCCTATCCTGAGGACAACAGAAGATGGCAGGAGGACAGGAACTCTGAAACCTAGATACCACAGCACTGGGACCCAAAGCACCTGTGTGCATAACGCCTGTTTATTATATAGTTCTAATTATTTGCTGTGAGGTTAATACTTAGAAAATTTTTATATTAATGTAAAAAATTTAAAAAATCACTGATTGTATGTTTTCTTTTGGATGTAATGGTCCAAACTCAACCTTGTAGACATTTATTGCATCCTGTAGGTAAATACACAGAACAGGCTCAGATCCAGGATGACCCAGCATGCTCTTCTTCCATTCTGGCTGTTAGGGATTGTATCAATAACTCAATGCCTACTGATGTTTTCACCTAACAGTATTTATTTAGAATGCAGGTCAGATTTAACTATATTTGTTAGCAAAGCAGACTGATCTTGGGAATTTCACTACAGCACTGATGTCCACCTCTGTGTACACATTAGAGAGAATTACCACGTTACAGCTAAACGCACATTTAATAAAGATATAGGCTATGCATTGCAGACAATAAAAACAAAGTTGTAAGCATTAGAATTATAATGATCACATTAAAGTACATTTGGAGAAATGTTCTTTATTTTTGACTAGAATCTCAAATCTTTAAATTAAAATGTAACAGCTTTTTATCCATTTCAGCCATTGAGACACCCAATATAAAATAAGACTGCTTATAAAATTATTTATAATTATATGTATATATAGATATAGATGGATAGTGATCTTAATAAAATATATTCTTTTAATGGTGTTTTAATGAGCTGTATCATTTTTTAAAACTTTTTTATAAAAATAAATAAGCAAGCAGCATTCCTTGTGTGTGTGTGTGTGTCAGTGGCGGCTGGCAAGTAGAGGGCGATAGGGCGCCGCCCTCCCAGTTTCCCCTGTGTTTTTAATTTTTATTTTAAAAAATAAATAAATAAAATGAACAATAATCACATATTCTAAGTTAATTGTGTGTTTTGTAACAAAAATAAATCATATATGTATATATATCTATATTGGTCTCTGCCGATCTCTGCCGGTCTCTGCCGAGCGGTGGAGGCTGTGTGCTGTTTTTCAATCGCCCAAACAGGACGGGACCAGTTGTCCAATTGCTGACAAGAAAATCAAAGGGTAGGAATGGGAATGTATCCAATCAGCGTCGACGTTGTTTCAGAAAGTGTCAGAAGCATGATGGGCGATAGAGCTACCGCCAAGGCTTTCGTTGATGTTCGGTAGAACTCGGAGAGTCTCGACTCCAGCACGTTTTGATGGTCGTGACGCAGACGCAGACAGTGCGCCTACAACCAGGATACCGGATCTCAGCAGCCATTGAATTCAGTTCGGTCTCCTCCAGTATCCGTTCGAGAGGAGAACTATGGTGGAAAAACTTAATGTCAAAGAGCTTGGACCAGATCAGCCCGACGTAAAGATAAGCCAGCAGGACAAGGAGAAGGGTAAACTGTACACACGACGCTTCTCCAAAAATTGGTACACCAGGAAGCAGTGGCTAGCTGGATGCAATCAAGCTAATGCGTTATTTTGCTTTCTGTGTTTGATATTCAAAATGGCTGGGATCGACAGAAGGTGGATGTGGAACTTGTGTCTCATTGGGGACTCCATTCGTTCTCTGACTGAGGAATGCAGCGCATCAATGCAGCAGCCAACAAAGAAACAGAGGACGTTTGGACAGGGAGAACAGCAGCTGGGTGCAGAGGTAAGCTGTACATTACATTTCTGTAAACAAGACAATCAGAATCAGAAATCCTTGGTTGTCCCACAAACCGGGACATTTGTTTAATAACATGTACATTGTTTAATGTGCAATAACTGTAAAAACTAATTTCAACACACATACCTATTATACATATTTAATCATGTAAATGTGTATTTCAAGTAAATTTGTACATACATCAATCTGATTCCATTTTACTTGTTACACTTCTGCTGCAGCAAACAAATGTCCCAGCTTGGGAAGTGGGAAATATGACATTTGTAAGAGGATACTGATGACATTATTTCCTATGAAAGTGTTTCCACTTTCCATAAGTCCTAACAGTGTAAATTTCTGGCATTTTGTCTAAGTGGTGTTTACTACCATTACTGTAACAGTGACCTGCTCATAATTTTTCGTGTTCACTCAAATGTTGAAATTAAACAAAATGTTTTTGTTACTTGCCTCTTGCATTGCCTATTTACCATTTATGGTCATGTTATTTTATGTGCAATTTAATGCAGTATTTTTCAACCTTGGTCCACAAGGCAGTTTGCCAATAGTCAGACACACCTGGATTAATCAGTTTGTCCAATAATGTAAGACAGGAAATAAAAGAGCTGTGCTTAATTCAGGAAATGTTGAAGATGTGCACAAAGCTCAGAAAGCACAAGTTTGTTTAAAAAAAAATAGCACAGCCCCACCGAAAATATTTTTCACCAGCCACCACTGGTGTGTGTCATTTACTAGAGTGTAATTTTAAAGGAAAACCTTAAATTACTAAACAAGTTTCAGTTAAGAAGAAAGTGATTTAAAAGCTTTTCATTTTAATTTAAGGGTGTTGAGGGCCTGCCCTCATGAGAATTTGCTACTCAATATTTTCTCCAAAAGACTGTGTCATTTGCTCTGAAAAGCTGGAATATATTCCAGCGCCAGCATGCCCTCATGAGGAAATACTATGCAGTAATTTCTCCAAAAGACTGTTATCTGCGCTCTGAAGAGCATAATTAAACATCAGCGCCAGCTACAACTTCATTTCCCATGATTCCTTGAGCCAGAAGCAATGTGATGACGTCACCGCCGCATACCGGAAACACGTTCTGCGCATGCGCCAAACCACACGGAGACAGCTGGAAGTTGTAAATTCTAGCGAAACGAAACATAACTCCGTTCTTTTGTCCAGTTTAACTGGCAGTGAAGGACACGCTGGTTGCTATGGCTCAAGACAACGTGAGCACGCGGGAGGCCTGGCTCTGAAGTGGATCGAACACAGAACCGCTGAAAAGCAGTGGAAACCCATCAGATCTGCTCTCCTTGTGCTGATGTGTGGCAAATCGCTCGCTGCTACGACTCCGGACGTGTGAGGACACAGAACCGCTGGAAAGCAACGGAACCACCATCTAATCAGCGCAAAGAACAAAGGGACGCCTTGGTTCGCTAACGTAACAGTTTGATTTTTATTTTATTTTTCTCTCTCTCTTCTTCTCTTTCATCTCTTCTAGACCAAAGTAAGAGATCAAACCGCGGATCATTTTATAGTAGAACCGGTTTTCTCTTCGTACCAAAAAACGCCATCGGATCCTTTTAAGAGTAAGCCGTTTTGTTGTTTGTTATTGTTTAATATCTTAAATAGTTTTTATGCTGTGGCCAGGCTGACAAACTATCAGATATTCATTTATGATTGATCTTTTGTGTTGTTTCTTGATCGTTTTGAAGTGTTTTGAGTGAATTAAGTTTAAGTTACTGTGATTGAAAGTGCTTCGGAAGTTTAAAGTGCAAGTTGCCCACACACACACACACACACACACACACACACACACACACACACACACACACACACACACACACACACACACACACACACACACACACACACACACATTCTGGTTTTCCCTGTTTAGGGGACACACACACATACTTGTTTTTATTGTTTGAGGGCACTCAAGCTAAAACACACACTTATTGGGTCAGATTGTATTACATTATTATTTCATTGTTTAATTACTTGTTATTCATTTGATAAAATCAGTTGGTTGATATTGATTGATTAATGCTTCAGAAGGAGCTGAAGTGATGATATTAGTTAATAAATGTATAGCCAATTAAGATTTTTTCTCAGATTGAGTTTGTGTGATATGAATTATTCAACTGCAGCTCGTTAGGATTCACAGAACGTTTGGACGAGACTGATAATAGTTTTGGATTCAATTTGTCCCCCGTTAGAATGGGTGGTGCCCCGTAGATATCTCCGGATATCCTAATTAATTAATAAATTGGTAAATATTTCCATATTTACCAATTTTATTGAAGAATGCAAAAAGTAAGTAAAAGCTTACAAATTATCCGTTGACCAATAACAGACAACAAGGGTGACATTTTTGTTCTTTTTTTTGTAGCAATCAATTATTATTTCATGTAAACTCTGATTCTCTTCTAGCTGATAAACTGACAGGTTTCTATAAAGGAAGTGAAACAAGGTGTGAGAGTCAGACTAGTGGAGCAGAAAAACATCTGCTAGAAACTTCCTGATGAGAAAGAGTCAAACTGCTTCTGATCTCTAACCTGATTGGTGTCTCCTAGGCGATACCCGTCCCATCCTGACGGTGCTGCCTCCCTCCAGTGAGGAGCTGCAGCAGGGGAAGGCCACGCTCATTTATTCATGTCAGAATAAAAATCATTTGTAAAATCAAAGTGATATTTGCTTCTTTTAAGTGGCAAAGAATTATTGGAAAATGTTGTTGGTGTTAAGATAATCATCACTAAGATAATTTCTATTGTAATATTCGAAACACTTTTTTTCTAAAACTTCTGAATATTTAGGATCAAAGTTTAATTCATCATGGCCTGAAAACCTGAGTGTGTTCAGTGAGCTGCATCAGTTTCTGTTCGGTCAGACTGAAAGAGGTTTTTGTACGATGATTTTTCACTGTGTGAACACATTGCCACTGTGGTAACTCTGACAGTAATAAATGCCTGCATCTTCAGCCTGAACTCCACTGATGGTCAGAGTGAAGTAAGCTCCATTCCCTGATCCACTTCCACTGAATCTGGAGGAGATTCGTTAAAATATGCTTGATGTTATATAGATCAGAGCTTTAGGAGCTTCTCCAGGTGTCTGATGGTACCAGGACAGATGGTATTGTAAACCAGAATACTGAGCTGCTGGTGGACTGACTTTACAGTCCACAGAGACGGTCTGACCAAGCTGCACTGATCTGGCTGCTGGCTGAGTCACAACATGTTGTCCATCAGACCCTGAGGAGAGAGAAGAAACACTGGACATGAGATGGTGAGGTGAAACTCAGCTACACTCCATATGATTTTCACATGACAGAAACATGATTCTCCTCACCCTGAGTGAAGCAGAGGAGAGTCCAGATGAGGACGCAGATCAAAGTCATGGTTTTGATCAGGAGGATTTCCAAGTCTTCTGTTGTGATGAAGGACAGCTGTCAGTCATCCAGTCTTCAACTCTCAGGACTATAAACTCTCCCAGAGCACTGGAGCATGGTGCTGCTGATGCAAAGTCATGCTCTATGGAAATCTGCTGACTCACTCCAGCAGGATCATGGCTCAGTCTGAGGACGGTTCCCATCTGTTACTTTTATCAGTTTTATTAATTTAAGAGGACAGATTTTTCCAAGATGTTTAGGTTTATTGTCCTGGGAAAATATTTTATAGTATTTTATTTTTTTAACATTTGTAAAGGAACTTCCATTGATGACCAGAATTTTCTAATTGTTAAAAAATAAACACTGTTTCTAATTTTCACATTACTTTCATGTTTCACAAAGTTCTACCTATCTATACCAATCAGACACTTTTTGAGCAAAACTCTAATCTGACAGATTATTTTGCCGAATCTTGTTAATGAGTCAATAAAATATTTTTCCGTCATTGAAGAAAGATTGTTTAATTTTAGATTTGGTAAATTAAGTGTATAAAAGTCTGCTTTTATCATTTATCATTTAAATAAATACAAACAGCTGATTGTAAACATCTGTTTCTTACAAAAGTTTTAATCATTTCCCACAAACTTTTGTTTTAGTCAAACATCTGGTCAAATTTAAAAGTGAATGATATCTTTTACACTTTATGAGACGAATGTTTAGTTTAGCTTAAACTGGTGAGTTTGTTTGTGTCCGACTCACAGAGCCGTGTCTCTCAGAGGTTTTTGTACGACGACTCAACCAGTTTGTATCACTGTGGTGGACGTTTGGTGGAGGAACCAGACTGGAGGTTGGAAGTAAGTTTAAATTTATTCTTTCTGCTTTTAGATGAATGTGCAGTAATTTTTCCTCTTATTGATCTCATTAATCTCATTAAAATCAACATTAAAAATGTGAACAACAATTTATTTTAAGCTGATGGAAAATAGTCCAGCGATCTGTTCTGTGTCTGATGTAGAGATAATAATCATGGTCATTTACTCATCTGGAGGTTTTCTTCTCATCATTTTAGACAAACTGACATCAAAGGTGAAAAAAGTTCTTCGTGATTCTGTCAACAAAACTTTAGAAAATAAACAAACAAAAATCTAATGATGGATTTTTAGTTTGTTACAGAAGAACTTGCTGATTTTTTATTAAATATTTTAAATGTTTGTGTAGTTTAGGGATTAATCTATAATAATCAACTGTTTAACATTGATTAGGTGTTTTATTATTTCAGTCATTTAAACATTTTGTTACTTATTATATGAAGTAGTTCAGTTTTACTAGAGTATAATTTTAAGAGAAAACCTTAAAATAAGGTAAAAAGTGATTTAAAAGCTTTTCAATTTAAGTTAAGGGTGACTTTTTTAATTGTAGCAACCAAACATTTTTATTTGATTTAAACTCTGATTCTCTTCTAGCTGATAAACTGACAGGTTTCTATAAAGGAAGTGAAACAAGGTGTGAGAGTCAGACTGGTGGAGCAGAAAAACATCTGCTAGAAACTTCCTGATGAGAAAAAGTCAAACTGCTTCTGATCTCTAACCTGATTGGTGTCTCCTAGGTGATACCCGTCCCATCCTGACGGTGCTGCCTCCCTCCAGTGAGGAGCTGCAGCAGGGGAAGGCCACGCTCATGTGTCTGGCCAACAAGGGCTTCCCCTCAGACTGGAGTCTGTCCTGGAAGGTGGACGGCAGCAGCAGCAGCAGGGAGGAGGACAGGAGCCCCGTGGTGATGAAGGACGGCCTCTACAGCTGGAGCAGCACCCTGAGGCTCACTGCAGACCAGTGGAGGAAGGTGGGCTCTGTGACCTGTGAGGCCACCCAGGGCTCCCAGTCTCCAGTCTCAGAGACACTCAGGAGAGACCAGTGTTCCCAGTGAAAAGGGCGCTCAGTGGGACTCTGTTAACAGTTTCCTTCACTCTGTTCCTTGGCAGATTTTCTTGTCTTGTTTCTGTTATTTTCTCACTGATATGTGCCAGACTGAAACTGTTTGTCATTTAGAAATATTCACTCAATAAAGAAGACTTCATAACTCAGTTCTGCTTCCTTTTATGTTTTATAAATATAACAGGTTATATATATATATATATATATATATAGTTTTCTTGTTTGTTTTGTTAAAACAATTTAACTCATTAGCTGTCCCTACCTCCAACTTCGCTGTTATTATTTAAAATGTGAAAATGTTTTAGTGTTTTAGTTTCACTGCAGCTGCTCGGTCAACATCATTGGTCTGGTTTATATTTAGAGACATCAATACAAACACAACAAATGTGATTAGAAATCATATTTAAATAACAAATGTATTTTTTATTTGCAGTTGTTGTTTTGACCAACAAAAATACAGAAATAGAAATAACCCTATGTGTTTACCCCAGAGTGTATGGCCATGTTGCATCAAATTTTCATTAAAATCTTTTATTTTTTTGCCATTTTTATATAGTGTTTTGTTGTTGTTGTTGTTGTTGTTGACATGTGAGCTGAATAAAAGAGATTAGAGGTGAAGAGGGGAGGAGTCAGTAGAGTTTTCTTTAGAGGGTTAGGCATGGACAGTTAAAGTAAAGACATTTAGAGCTGAGATTAAAAAGTCAGAATCAGTGAAGTTTGCTTTGGTCTTTTGGAAACGTCTGCTGGATTTTTTGTGTAAATAGTTGGTGAAGAAAGAACCTTATTGTGAGAAAAACCTGAGCCCTGACTCTAATTCCCGTAACTTCACAGACTCTTTCCCGTCTTGATGAGACAAACAGGAGGGAATGCTTCATTGTAACCCCATGCACGCCCACATTATGGACCATCGAAGCAAACTCAGCAAAAGGCTCATTGCCCCGAAATGCAGAACTGTTCAGACTGAGGGAAGTTTTTGTACGATGTTTTTTCACTGTGTGAACACATAGCCATGTTGAAAACCCAGACAGTAATAAACTCCTGCATCTTCAGCCTGAACTCCACTGATGGTCAGAGTGAAGTCAGCTCCATTCCCTGATCCACTTCCACTGAATCTAGAGGAGATTCCTGAAAATCTGCTTGATGTTAAATAAATCAGGAGTTTAGGAGCTTCTCCAGGTGTCTGGTGGTACCAGGAAAGATACCGGAAGTGTTGAAAACCAGCAAAGGCTGCTGGTGGACTGACTTTACAGTCCACAGAGACAGTCTGACCAAGCTGCACTGATCTGGCTGCTGACTGAGTTATAACATGTTGTCCATCAGACCCTGAGGAGAGAGAAGAAACACTGGACATGAGATGGTGAGGTGAAACTCAGCTACACTCCAAATGATTTTCACATGACAGAAACATGATTCTCCTCACCCTGAGTGAAGCAGAGGAGAGTCCAGATGAGGACGCAGATCAAAGTCATGGTTTTGATCAGGAGGATTTCCAAGTCTTCTGTTGTGATGAAGGACAGCTGTCAGTCATCCAGTCTTCAACTCTCAGGACTATAAACTCTCCCAGAGCACTGGAGCATGGTGCTGCTGATGCAAAGTCATGCTCTATGGAAATCTGCTGACTCACTCCAGCAGGATCATGGCTCAGTCTGAGGACGGTTCCCATCTGTTACTTTTATCACTATTATTTATTTTTCAGGACAGATTTTCCAAGATGTTTAGGTTTATTGTCCTGTGAAAATATTTTATAGTATTTTATTTATTTTTAACATTTGTAAAGGAACTTCCATTGATAACCAGATTTTTCTAATTGTTAAAAAACAAACACTGTTTCTAATTTTCACATTAATTTCATGTTTCACAAAGTTCTACCTATCTATACAATTCAGACACTTTTTGAGCAAAACTCTAATCTGACAGATTATTTTGTTGAATCTTGTTAATGAGTCAATAAATTATTTTTCCTTCATTAAAGAAAATTTGTTTAATTTTAGATTTTGTAATTTAAGTGTATAAAAGTCTGCTTTTATCATTTATCATTTAAATAAATACAAACAGCTGGTTGTAAACATCTGTTTCTTACAAAAGTTTTAATCAATTTCCACAAACTTTTGTTTTAGACAAACTTGTTTTAGTCAAACATCTGGTCACATTTAAAAGTGAATGATATCTTTTACACTTTATGAGACAAATGTTTAGTTTAGCTTAAACTGGTGAGTTTGTTTGTGTCAGACTCACAGAGCCGTGTCTCTCAGAGGTTTTTGTACGACGACTCAACCAGTTTGTATCACTGTGGTGGACGTTTGGTGGAGGAACCAGACTGGAGGTTGGAAGTAAGTTTAAATTTATTCTTTCTGATTTTAAATGAATGTGCAGTAATTTTTCCTCTTATTGATCTCAATAATCTCATTAAAATCAACATTAAAATGTAAACAACAATTTATTTTAAGCTGATGGAAAATATTCCAGCGATCTGTTCTGTGTCTGATGTAGAGATAATAATCATGGTCATTTACTCATCTGGAGGGTTTCTTCTCATCATTTTAGACAAACTGAGATCAAAGGTGAAAGAAGTTCTTTGTGATTCTGTCAACAAAACTTTAGAAAATAAACAAACAAAAATTTAATGATGGATTTTTAGTTTGTTACACAAGAACTTGCTGATTTTTTTATTACATATTTTAAATGTTTGTGTAGTTTAGGGATTAATCTGTAATAATTAAATGTTTAACATGGATTAGGTGTTTTATTATTTCAGTCATTTAAACATTTTTTTACTTATATGAAGTAGTTCAGTTTTACTAGAATATAATTTTAAGAGAAAACCTTAAATTAAGGTAAAAAGTGATTTAAAAGCTTTTCAATTTAAGTTAAGGGTGACTTTTTTAATTGTAGCAACCAAACATTTTTATTTGATTTGATTTTATTTGATTTAAACTCTGATTCTCTTCTAGCTGATAAACTGACAGGTTTCTATAAAGGAAGTGAAACAAGGTGTGAGAGTCAGACTGGTGGAGCAGAAAAACATCTGCTAGAAACTTTCTTGATGAGAAAAAGTCAAACTGCTTCTGATCTCTAACCTGATTGGTGTCTCCTGCACACAATAAATCAGATTAAATAAAATAAATTATGTTGCATTGTGTATTTCATAATTATTACAGGTTGTTTCTCATTGTTATTTAATCATTTTCAGTTTTTTATTTAAATAGAAAGATTAACCAAGTCAGGCCAACCAACTTTTCCACTGTTATGTTTTTAATTAATAAATAAAATCAGAGTTTAGAACTTCATAAAACATGAAATAAAACTCTGTTTATCATCAGTATGATTTTACCTGCAGCTTTCAATAAACATATGTAACGATTATAATGTTTATTAGATCAAAGCAAATATTTGATTTCCTTTGACACAAAACTCATGAGTTTTTCAACCGAAAAAAATGTTGATAAAAAAATTGTAATCTGGAAGATGCAGCTGGACCTTGTCCACAGTCTTAGCGCTGACTCCTCAGGAGGGTCACGGACCTAAATCAGCCAAACAATAAGAGACAAAGTAGCCAAACCAATGACCTTAATGAAGTATTTACTCCTCTACTAAACAGATACCTGAGCTGATAATTCAGTTGATTATATCATCAGTTCAGTAAATTCTAAATATTATTACTTCAACAAATGATTGTTTTGACCAATAAAAATAAAGAAATAGAACTAACACTGGCCACAGAAAAACAAACAAAACAGGACTATAGTATAACACAAGCTAAACCTAAATGTTCCCTCTTCACTGTTTTTGGGTCCATTTTTTTGTAAAGATACATTTTATTTTATAAATTTCCTTTTGTTGCGGACACTGTAATTTCTCCTGAGATCAGCACCCTGGACAGCACCTGTTCAAGCTGCTACTCTTGCTCCAGCACCGTTTCCTGCTCTCCCATTCTGCACCTAGGACAGAGGCACGCTGCTGCGCTGCACCAACTATGTATAATAAATCAGCTTTAAAAGGCAGAGCCTGTCAGTCAGTCGGTTTGTGCTGTTGTCCTCTTGACTGTGGCTTGTTTGAGTGCTTTGAAAAGAACGTGTTTAACCGTTAAATGCTCCTAGTGCTTTTTGTGTTTGCAGACAGGTGTGTTTTTGTGAATAAATGTGGCTATGCTAATGAAAAGCATCTATTGATTTCACAGGATGTGTATTTTTGAGGGAATTACCAAATTAATTTAAAAAGTCAGATGTACTATGTTTGATTTAATGCTCACATAATTTTACAGCGTTCCTGCTCCTCTTGTGGAATCAACTCCCATATTTTTTTCCAATAAGCCTAAAAATTAGCATAATTTGTTTTTAAATAATCTGTCTGGGAGCAGAGAGGCAGGACACATATGCAAACACACACAGTCAGTCAGCTGATCATCAGCTGTCTCCATGTTTCCTCCCCACTACCGAGACATCTCATTGACACGTGTGTGTGTGTGTGTGTGTGTGTGTGTGTGTGGGGGGGGGGGGGTTGGGGGGGGGGGGGGGTTCATTAGCATTTTTTATCTTTTTTTAACAACATGTGAAATGAAATCTTGACATTTTCAGTCTAGTTTATAATGCAGTCATACAACAATGTTCACCTTCATTTTAAAGTGAAGAAAACAAATAAATTATTAATAGTTAATTAAACATGAAATAAAACACAAAAGTTTAAAATTCACCTGAGAAGAAATTCAGATTCTAAAGATTTGTTTTTCTTTTTTGTTTGTTTTTTAGCTCAGTGTTTTCTCTGTTTCAGGTCCTAAAATCATTTCAACAAGTTGAATCATCTCTACGTCCTAAAACCCTTAAACTTATTTTGCTAAAGCCGTGTGGTGTGTTTGTAAACTTGATTAGATGAACACTTTGTAAACACCAGTTTTGAAGACGACTCCTGCTAACAGTTAAGAATAAAAAGTTGAAAAATAACAGAATTTGTTTCAGTTTTGCTCAAATTTCATGTCAGAATAAAAAACATTTGTAAAATCAAAGTGATTTTTGCTTCTTTTAAGTGGCAAAGAATTATTGAAAAATGTTGTTGGTGTTAAGATAATCATCACTAAGATAATTTCTATTGTAATATTTGAAACCATTTTTTTCTAAAACTTCTGATTATTTAGGAACAAAGTTTAATTCATGATGGCCTGAAAACCTGAGTGTGTTCAGTGAGCTGCATCAGTTTCTGTTCAGTCAGACTGAAAGAGGTTTTTGTACGATGCTTTTTCACTGTGTGAACACATCGCCAAGGTGGTAACTCTGACAGTAATAAACTCCTGCATCTTCAGCCTGAACTCCACTGATGGTCAGAGTGAAGTCAGATCCATTCCCTGATCCACTTCCACTGAATCTGGAGGAGATTCCTGAAAATCTGCTTGATGTTAAATAAATCAGGAGTTTAGGAGCTTCTCCAGGTGTCTGATGGTACCAGGAAAGATACCGGAAGTGTTGAAAACCAGCAAACGCTGCTGGTGGACTGACTTTACAGTCCACAGAGACAGTCTGACCAAGCTGCACTGATCTGGCTGCTGGCTGAGTCACAACATGTTGTCCATCAGACCCTGAGGAGAGAGAAGAAACACTGGACATGAGATGGTGAGGTGAAACTCAGCTACACTCCATATGATTTTCACATGACAGAAACATGATTCTCCTCACCCTGAGTGAAGCAGAGGAGAGTCCAGATGAGGACGCAGATCAAAGTCATGGTTTTGGTCAGGAGGATTTCCAAGTCTTCTGTTGTGATGAAGGACAGCTGTCAGTCATCCAGTCTTCAACCCTCAGGACTATAAACTCTCCCAGAGCACTGGAGCATGGTGCTGCTGATGCAAAGTCATGCTCTATGGAAATCTGCTGACTCACTCCAGCAGGATCATGGCTCAGTCTGAGGACGGTTCCCATCTGTTACTTTTATCACTATTATTTATTTTACAGGACAGATTTTCCAAGATGTTTAGGTTTATTGTCCTGTGAAAATATTTTATAGTATTTTATTTATTTTTAACATTTGTAAAGGAACTTCCATTGATGACCAGAATTTTCTAATTGTTAAAAAATAAACACTGTTTCTTATTTTCACATTACTTTCATGTTTCACAAAGTTCTACCTATCTATACCAATCAGACACTTTTTTGAGCAAAACTCTAATCTGACAGATTATTTTGCCGAATCTTGTTAATGAGTCAATAAAATATTTTTCCTTCATTAAAGAAAGTTTGTTTAATTTTAGATTTTGTAATTTAAGTGTATAAAATTCTGCTTTTATCATTTATCATTTAAATAAATACAAACAGCTGATTGTAAACATCTGTTTCTTACAAAAGTTTTAATCAATTTCCACAAACTTTTGTTTTAGACAAACTTGTTTTAGTCAAACATCTGGTCACATTTAAATGTGAATGATATCTTTTACACTTTATGAGACAAATGTTTAGTTCAGCTTAAACTGGTGAGTTTGTTTGTGTCAGACTCACAGAGCCGTGTCTCTCAGAGGTTTTTGTAAGACGACTCAACCAGTTTGTATCACTGTGGTGGACGTTTGGTGGAGGAACCAGACTGGAGGTTGGAAGTAAGTTTAAATTTAGTCTTTCTGGTTTTAAATGAATGTGCAGTAATTTTTCCTCTTATTGATCTCATTAATCTAATTAAAATCAACATTAAAATGTAAACAACAATTTATTTTAAGCTGATGGAAAATAGTCCAGCGATCTGTTCTGTGTCTGATGTAGAGATAATAATCATGGTCATTTACTCATCTGGAGGGTTTCTTCTCATCATTTTAGACAAACTGAGATCAAAGGTGAAAGAAGTTCTTTTGTGATTCTGTCAACAAAACTTTAGAAAATAAACAAACAAAAATCTAATGATGGATTTCTAGTTTGTTACAGAAGAACTTGCTGATTTTTTATTACATATTTTAAATGTTTGTGTAGTTTAGGGATTAATCTATAATAATTAAATGTTTAACATTGATTAGGTGTTTTATTATTTCAGTCATTTAAACTGTTTTTTTTACTTATATGAAGTAGTTCAGTTTTACTAGAGAATAATTTTAAGAGAAAACTTTAAATTAAGGTAAAAACTGATTTAAAAGCTTTTCAATTTAAGTTAAGGGTGACTTTAATTGTAGCAACCAAACATTTTTATTTCATTTAAACTCTGATTCTCTTCTAGCTGATAAACTGACAGGTTTCTATAAAGGAAGTGAAACAAGGTGTGAGAGTCAGACTGGTGGAGCAGAAAAACATCTGCTAGAAACTTCCTGATGAGAAAAAGTCAAACTTCTTCTGATCTCTAACCTGATTGGTGTCTCCTAGGTGATACCCGTCCCATCCTGACGGTGCTGCCTCCCTCCAGTGAGGAGCTGCAGCAGGGGAAGGCCACGCTCATGTGTCTGGCCAACAAGGGCTTCCCCTCAGACTGGAGTCTGTCCTGGAAGGTGGACGGCAGCAGCAGCAGCTGGGAGGAGGACAGGAGCCCCGTGGTGATGAAGGACGGCCTCTACAGCTGGAGCAGCACCCTGAGGCTCACTGCAGACCAGTGGAGGAAGGTGGGCTCTGTGACCTGTGAGGCCACCCAGGGCTCCCAGTCTCCAGTCTCAGAGTCACTCAGGAGAGACCAGTGTTCCCAGTGAAAACAGGCTCACTGGACCTTTTCCCATCATTTTTTTCTTGCAAATTTTATCATTGTCTGTATTTTTGATTGATGTTTCCCAGAATTAAACAGTTTCTTATTTCAACATCTGCACACAATAAATCAGATTAAATAAAATTAATTATGTTGCATTGTGTATTTCATAATTATTACAGGTTGTTTCTTATTTTTATTTAATCATTTTCAGTTTTTTATTTAATTAGAAATATTAACCAAGTCAGACCAACCAACTTTTCCACGGAGTGATTTTATTCATTAGTTAAAAATCAAATTTTAGAACTTCATAAAACATGAAGTAAAACTCTGTTTATCATCAGTATGATTTTACCTGCAGCTTTCAATAAACATATGTAACGATTATAATGTTTATTAGATCATCAAAGCTAATATTTGATTTCCTTTTACACAAAACTCATGAGTTTTTCAACCTAAAATGTTGATAAAAAATTGTAATCTGGAAGATGCAGCTGGACCTTGTCCACAGTCTTAGTGCTGACTCCTCAGGAGGGTCACGGACCTAAATCAGCCAAACAATAAGAGACAAAGTAGCCAAACCAATGACCTTAATGAAGTATTCACTCCTCTACTAAACAGATACCTGAGCTGATAATTCAGTTGATTATATCATCAATTCAATAAATTCTAAATATTTTTATTACATCAACAAATGATTGTTTTGACCAGTAAAAATAAAGAAATAGAACTAACACTGACCACAGAAAAACAAACAAAACAGGACTATAGTATAACACAAGTTAAACCTAAATGTTCCCTCTTCACTGTTTTTGGGTCCATTTTTTTGTAAAGATACATTTTATTTTATAAATTTCCTTTTGTTACGGACGCTGTAATTTCTCCTGAGATCAGCACCCTGGACAGCACCTGTTCAAGCTGCTACTCTTGCTCCAGCACCGTTTCCTGCTCTCCCATTCTGCACCTAGGACAGAGGCACGCTGCTGCGCTGCACCAACTATGTATAATAAATCAGCTTTAAAAGGCAGAGCCTGTCAGTCAGTCGGTTTGTGCTGTTGTCCTCTTGACTGTGGCTTGTTTGAGTGCTTTGAAAAGAACGTGTTTAACCGTTAAATGCTCCTAGTGCTTTTTGTGTTTGCAGACAGGTGTGTTTTTGTGAATAAATGTGGCTATGCTAATGAAAAGCATCTATTGATTTCACAGGATGTGTATTTTTGAGGGAATTACCAAAAAATTTTTAAAAGTCAGATGTACTATAGTTGATTTAATGCTGACATGATTTTATAGCGTTCCTGCTCCTCTTGTGGAATCAACTCCCATATTTGTTTTCCAATAAGCCTAAAAATTAGCATAATTTGTTTTTAAATAATCTGTCTGGGAGCAGAGAGGCAGGACACATATGCAAACACACACAGTCAGTCAGCTGATCATCAGCTGTCTCTGTGTTTCCTCTTCACCGCTGAAACATCTCACTGATATGTGTGTGTGTGTGTGTGTGTGTGTTTCTTTAGCATTTTTTATCTTTTTTTAACAACATGTGAAATGAAATCTTGACATTTTTCATTCTAGTTTATAATTCAGTCATACAACGAAGTTCACCTTCATTTTAAAGTGAAGAAAACAAATAAATTATAAATAGTTAATTAAACATGAAATAAAACACAAAAGTTAAAAATTCACCTGAGAGAAGAAATTCAGATTCTAAATATTTGTTTTTCGTTTTTGTTTGTTTTTTTAGCTCAGTGTGTTCTCTGTTTCAGGTCTTAAAATAATTTTGACAAGTTTAATCATCTCTACATCCTAAAACCCTTAAATTTATTTTGCTAAAGCCATGTGGTGTGTTTGTAAACTTGATTAGATGAACACTTTGTAAACACCTGTCATGGTCTGTGTCGGCGTCTCATCTCATGTGTCTCCTTTTGTCCTCCATTCGTCTCTAGGTGCTCATTTTGTGTCTTCTAGCACCCTCATGTGTCGTGTCTGCATCTTCCTCATGTGTCTCCTGCTGTTCCCCATTTGCCCTCTAGGTTTCCCTCCTCAGACATCCCCCCTCCCAGGTCCTGTGCTCTCTTGGCTCCCTCTTAGCCACACCCCTGTAGTTTCTGTCTGTAGTGTTTTTCTTTAGTGTCAGCTTCCCCTTAGAATATTAGTTATGGTTATTGCCTTCTGATCTTTTGTTTTTCTCTTAGGTAATTTTCCTTTGTTACAGCCTTTCTTTATTTAGTGTGTTTTTTCCTCCTCCCTGATTTAGTAATTGTGTTCACCTGGTCCCTCTCCCCACACACCTGCAATTCATCTCCCTCTCTTCTTCCCAGTCTATATAAGCCCTGTCTTGTCTCTGTGTTGTGTCGGTCCATTGTATGTTTGTCAGCGTTTGTTTGTGCTCTGTTTGAGCTTTTGTCTCCAGGTCTTCGTGCTCTTCGTGAGCTTTGGTCTCCAGATTTTGGTGCTCTGAGAGAGCTTTTTGATGTCCTGTTCTCCAGGACTTTTGGACTTTTGGCCCGCTGCCATTTTTGGATTTATTTTTTGTTCTTCCTAAGAATAAATGATTTTTACTTTTACTACTTCTGCCTCGAGTCATCCTGGGTTATCTGCATATTTGGGTCCTAAACATTTCCCTCAACGTGACAGAATGGACCGACCAAGCAGGACCCAGCGGACCCCAGGTAAACGGGAACTCAGCCAAGGAATGTACTCCTTCAGTGGTGACCCAGACACCTGTCGCGATTTTATTTGGGACTTTGTGGGATTTATGGATATGGAGGACATGGACATTGCAGTAGCTATGGTGTACTGCCTGGAGGGAAGAGCCCTGCAATGGGCAAACCACTATTTGAAGCTATATCCTCTAGAGGAGATTGCTTTTTGGATTTTCGCTAAGGATCTTCAGGACGCCTTCTGCTACCCAAACACACTCACCTCATCACCTCCATCCGGCCCAGACTACACAACCAGCTTTTTCCCGGTGGATCACCATCTCACACCTACCGAGGTAGTGTTAAGCGCCCTCTCAGTGTCTCCGAGGGTCCTAACCTCCACACCTTCGCCTGGACCAGACAGCACTGCTGCATCCTCTCCGGTGGGCTGTCATTCCTCCTCGGTTCCTGCCAGCGTCATCTCCATGCCTCTGAGCCAAAAATCCCCACGCCGACGACGCTGCAACCATCCTGCTCCGGCGGTGGTTCCGGAGGACGCATCGCATCCTGCTCCGGCGGTGGTTCCGGAGGACGCATCGCATCCTGCTCCGGCGGTGGTTCTGGAGGACGCACCGCATCCGGTCCAGCCCGTCCACGAGGCTCCGGTCCAGTCCGACGCCTCCAGTCTCCAACTCTGAAGTAGACGTTTCCTGCTCCGGCTCCAAAGTGGACGTTTCCAGCTCCGAAGTGGACGTTTCCAGCTCCGAAGTGGACGTCTCGACGTCCCCGGCTCTGAAGTGGACGTCTCGACGTCCCCGGCTCTGAAGTGGACGTCTCGACGTCCCCGGCTCCGAAGTGGACATCTCGATGTCTCCGGCTCCGAAGTGGACGTTTCCAGCTCCGAAGTGGACGTCTCGACGTCCCCGGTTCTGAAGTGGACGTCTCGACGTCCCCGGCTCAAGTCTTGCTGTCACAAGTGTTCCCGTCTCCCTGTCACAAGTGCTCCCGTCTCCCTGTCACAAGTGCTCCCGTCTCCCTGTCACAAGTGCTCCCGTCTCCCTGTCACAAGTGCTCCCGTCTCCCTGTCACAAGTGCTCCCGTCTCCAGAGTCCCAAGTGTCCCATGTGTCCCCGTTACCAGAGTCCTTTCCTCATCCTCGTCCTCCAAATCCCCCGATCCCTGGATTTGCCTGGTCCCGCCTCCCGGTTCCCCATCGCCGGCCCCCACGACTTGCCCGTTCCCGCCTCCTGGTTTCCCGTCGCCGGTCCCTTTGAGTCTCCTATTCCCTCCTCGCCCACCCTTTTGGGTGGGTTTTGTTTTGGTCCCTCCTCTCCCACCCTGTGGTGTCTCGTGTCTTGTTCTTGTCTTGTCTTTTGCTTGTGGTGTTTGTCTGTCTTGTGGGCATCTGGTGTCCGCCCTTGGGGGGGGGGGGGGGGGGGTACTGTCATGGTCTGTGTCGGCGTCTCATCTCATGTGTCTCCTTTTGTCCTCCATTCATCTCTAGGTGCTCATTTTGTGTCTTCTAGCACCCTCATGTGTCGTGTCTGCATCTTCCTCATGTGTCTCCTGCTGTTCCCCATTTGCCCTCTAGGTTTCCCTCCTCAGACATCCCCCCTCCCAGGTCCTGTGCTCTCTTGGCTCCCTCTTAGCCACGCCCCTGTAGTTTCTGTCTGTAGTGTTTTTCTTTAGTGTCAGCTTCCCCTTAGAATATTAGTTATGGTTATTGCCTTCTGATCTTTTGTTTTTCTCTTAGGTAATTTTCCTTTGTTACAGCCTTTCTTTATTTAGTGTGTTTTTTCCCACCTGTGTTTTTTCCTCCTCCCTGATTTAGTAATTGTGTTCACCTGGTCCCTCTCCCCACACACCTGCAATTCATCTCCCTCTCTTCTTCCCAGTCTATATAAGCCCTGTCTTGTCTCTGTGTTGTGTCGGTCCATTGTATGTTCGTCAGTGTTTGTTCGTGCTCTGTTTGAGCTTTTATCTCCAGGTCTTCGTGCTCTTCGTGAGCTTTGGTATCCATGTTTTGGTGCTCTGAGAGAGCTTTTTGATGTTATGTTCTCCAGGACTTTTGGACTTTTGGCCCGCTGCCATGTTTGGATTTATTTTTTGTTCTTCCTAAGAATAAAGGATTTTTACTTATACAACTTCTGCCTCGAGTCATCCTGGGTTATCTGCATATTTGGGTCCTAAACATTTCCCTCAGTGTGGCAACACCAGTTTTGAAGACGACTCCTGCTAACAGTTAGGAATAAAAAGTTGAGGAATAATAACAATTTGTTTCAGTTTTGCTCATATTTCATGTCTGAATAAAAAACATTTGTAAAATCAAAGTGATTTTTGCTTCTTTTAAGTGGCAAAGAATTATTGAAAAATGTTGTTGGTGTTAAGATAATCATCACTAAAGATAATTTCTATTGTAATATTTGAAACCATTTTTTTTCTAAAACTTCTGATTATTTAGGAACAAAGTTTAATTCATCATGGCCTGAAAACCTGAATGTGTTCAGTGAGCTGCATCAGTTTCTGTTCAGTCAGACTGAAAGAGGTTTTTGTACGATGCTTTTTCACTGTGTGAACACATCGCCAAGGTGGTAACTCTGACAGTAATAAACTCCTGCATCTTCAGCCTGAACTGCACTGATGGTCAGAGTGAAGTCAGCTCCATTCCCTGATCCACGTCCACTGAATTGATTTGGATATTCAGACTTGCGAATCGTGGTAGAATAAATCAGGAGTTTAGGAGCTTCTCCAGGTGTCTGATGGTACCAGGACAGATCGTGTTTTAAACGAAAATCACTAGCTGCTGGTGGACTGACTTTACAGTCCACAGAGACGGTCTGACCAAGCTGCACTGATCTGGCTGCTGGCTGAGTCACAACATGTTGTCCATCAGACCCTGAGGAGAGAGAAGAAACACTGGACATGAGATGGTGAGGTGAAACTCAGCTGCACTCCAAATGATTTTCACATGACAGAAACATGATTCTCCTCACCCTGAGTGAAGCAGAGGAGAGTCCAGATGAGGACGCAGATCAAAGTCATGGTTTTGATCAGGAGGATTTCCAAGTCTTCTGTTGTGATGAAGGACAGCTGTCAGTCATCCAGTCTTCAACTCTCAGGACTATAAACTCTCCCAGAGCACTGGAGCATGGTGCTGCTGATGCAAAGTCATGCTCTATGGAAATCTGCTGACTCACTCCAGCAGGATCATGGCTCAGTCTGAGGACGGTTCCCATCTGTTACTTTTATCAGTTTTATTAATTTAACAGGACAGATGTTTCCAAGATGTTTAGGTTTATTGTTCTGGGAAAATATTTTAATGTCCGTGTTTTGTTTAATATATTTTTTAACATTTGTAATTGGAACTCCCACACATAACCAGATTATCCTAATTATCATTAAACACGGACCACTACACATGAAATATTTAAATATGTTACATTAATCACACTTTTTTATTTAGCACAATCTAATCTGAGAGATAATATTGCAAAAAAATATTGAACAATTGAAATGATTCCATCACAGGAGACAGTTTTCCGTCTGTTTTGTTTATTTTGGGTTTCCTGTGTTCTAAGGGTGTAGAAACATGCTTTTGTTATTGCTGAAAATAAAATCAGGATTGAAAAACCAAACTTCAACATGAACTGCAGATTGTAAACATCTGTTCTATACGTTATATTTAATGTTTTCTGATCATTTCCCACAACCTTTGTTGTATAAACTTAAATGTGAATATTACATTTTACAATCTAGGAGAACGATGTTTAGTTTAGTTTAAAACTGGTGACTGCAGAGAGACACGGCTCTCTGAATTTGAGGTTTTGTACAACGACTCAACCAGTTTGTATCACTGTGGTACACGTTTGGTGGAGGAACCAGACTGGAGTTAGGAAGTAAGTTTACATCTTTAAAAATTCTGCTTAATACATTTTTATTGTGTTTATTTTAAGTGTTTTTACCTGTTAATTCTATCGAGCTCTTTTTTACGGTTATTAAAATTACCATTGAGAAGTAAAATGCTAATTTTACTTTAAAAGTACGTTTTAAGACAAAGAAACTAGATTTTATGGCAAGCCAAAATAAGGAAATTATATTGTTTTCTATAATTAAATTTTGGGTCATAGTGATGAACTCGGAGCTGTGTCTGTCTCTGTTAAGTGAGTTTGTATCACTGTGGGTCATGTTTAGTGGAAGAACCAGACTGTCTTTATTTTAAAATAAAGACTGAGACACAATTGAGATATTTAACTTTTGTCATTATTTTATTGTTTTTTATAACCAAGTCTGAAAGTTAAAAATTAAATGTACAACAGAGATCGAATTGATTGTTTTACATTTATAGTTAAAACAGTTTTCCCTTTTTTTTTTTTCAAAATAAAATACCATTGCTGGAGTAAAACGTGTCATCTTTGTTATCTTTCTGGTTTATTTTTAGTTTAAAATTTTTGCAAAATAATAAAAAAAAACATGTGACCTCAGTTTAGGATTATTCTATGTGAGTGTTTCTTTGTTGAAATGTTAACCTGAATTTTTTTGAGCTTTTTTTTCTTTTAGATGTTGTAGATTTTACATGAATTTGTTTCACTGTAACTCAGAAATGATTCAGATGTAAAAAGTTAAACTGCTGGATGATTTTCTCTGAGCTGATCTGCATCAGAGGTTTCTGTTAGGAAGTGAAACAAAGTGAGTGACTGTTGGATCAGAAACACATTGGGTAGAAACTTCTTCACATACAGCATCACTTCTAGGAAGAGTTTCTGCTGTTTGACTGAAAGTTGTTTAGTTCCTGCCCTCTAACCTGATTGGTGCCTCGTAGGTGATATTTGTACCTCCCTGATGGTGCTGCTTCCCTCCAGAAGGGAGCTGTTCCAGGGTAATGCAACAGTTACATGTCTGGCCACCAAGGGCTTCCCCTCAGACTGGAGTCTGTCCTGGAAGGTGGACGGCAGCAGCAGCAGCTGGGAGGAGGACAGGAGCCCCGTGGTGATGAAGGACGGCCTCTACAGCTGGAGCAGCACCCTGAGGCTCACTGCAGACCAGTGGAGGAAGGTGGGCTCTGTGACCTGTGAGGCCACCCAGGGCTCCCAGTCTCCAGTCTCAGAGTCACTCAGGAGAGACCAGTGTTCCCAGTGAAAATAGGCTCACTGGACCTTTTCCCATCATTTTTTTCTTTTGCAAATTTTGTCATTGTCTGTATTTTTGATTGATGTTTCCCAGAATTAAACAGTTTCTTATTTCAAAATCTGCACACAATAAAACAGATTAAATAAAATAAATTATGTTGCATTGTGTATTTCATAATTATTACAGGTTGTTTCTCATTGTTATTTAATCATTTTCAGTTTTTTATTTAAATAGAAAGATTAACCAAGTCAGGCCAACCAACTTTTCCACTGTTATGTTTTTAATTAATAAATAACATCAGAGTTTAGAACTTCATAAAACATGAAGTAAAACTTTGTTTATCATCAGTATAATTTTACCTGCAGCTTTCAATAAACATATGTAACGATTATAATGTTTATTAGATCATCAAAGCAAATATTTGATTTCCTTTGACACAAAACTCATGAGTTTTTCAACCTAAAATGTTGATAAAAAAATTGTAATCTGGAAGATGCAGCTGGACCTTGTCCACAGTCTTAGCGCTGACTCCTCAGGAGGGTCACGGACCTAAATCAGCCAAACAATAAGAGACAAAGTAGCCAAACCAATGACCTTAATGAAGTATTTACTCCTCTACTAAACAGATACCTGAGCTGATAATTCAGTTGATTATATCATCAATTCAATAAATTCTAAATATTTTTATTACCTCAACATATGATTGTTTTGACCAGTAAAAATAAAGAAATAGAACTAACACTGACCACAGAAAAACAAACAAAACAGGACTATAGTATAACACAAGCTAAACCTAAATGTTCCCTCTTCACTGTTTTTGGGTCCATTTTTTTGTAAAGATACATTTTATTTTATAAATTTCCTTTTGTTACGGACGCTGTAATTTCTCCTGAGATCAGCACCCTGGACAGCACCTGTTCAAGCTGCTACTCTTGCTCCAGCACCGTTTCCTGCTCTCCCATTCTGCACCTAGGACAGAGGCACGCTGCTGCGCTGCACCAACTATGTATAATAAATCAGCTTTAAAAGGCAGAGCCTGTCAGTCAGTCGGTTTGTGCTGTTGTCCTCTTGACTGTGGCTTGTTTGAGTGCTTTGAAAAGAACGTGTTTAACCGTTAAATGCTCCTAGTGCTTATTGTGTTTGCAGACAGGTGTGTTTTTGTGAATAAATGTGGCTATGCTAATGAAAAGCCTCTCTCATCAGGAACATTAACTCATTCACAGAATTCAAAAAACAACTCAAAACTCACTTCTTCATAACCACAAATCAACTTTGAATTTTAGAGTGCCTTGTTTGCTGATGTTTACGTATGTGTACTTTGTTTTATTGCATGATTTGTGTTTTTATTCTGTACAGTGTCCTTGAGTGACCAGAAAGGCGCTTTTAAATAAAATGTATTATTATTATTATTATTATTGATTTCACAGGATGTGTATTTTTGAGGGAATTACCAAAATAATTTTAAAAAGTCAGACGTACTATGTTTGATTTAATGCTGACATAATTTTATAGCGTTCCTGCTCCTCTTGTGGCATCGACTCTAGTGATGCACGATTGACTTCTAACCTACGGTACTCGCAGGTTACTTGCGGGTCGGGTCAATACATTTTTACTTCAGTGCGGTGCAGTTTGGGGCGGGTTCATGAAATATATATATATATATATATATGTGCACACTGAGGATAAAGACATTAATCAACGTTTAATTTTTTTAAAACACAATATTTAAGACAGTTTTTAAAACACGGTCACATTTTAAAACATAACTCCGCGCAGACAACCTTTGACCCCATGACGTAGGCACGTGCAGAAAGCGCCAGTGAAGTGTGCCTAAGCTCCAAGCAGGTGGCAGGCAGCCACGTCAACAAAACGATGGAGGACAATATTTTGGATAAAATTCATTCGGGAGTTTACATTCTTACAAGAAAGGAGGGACAAACTGCTAAATCTGGGAAAGATTCAGCGAGGTAATCAGCGCGGGTCAGATGGCTACTCATCAACCTGACCTCAACTATCTCTCACCTAATGTATCCTCTGTAATCTCCAACCTTGGAGTAAAAATGGACCAGGCTCTGAAGATGGATGCCCAGGTCAATAACACAGTTAAATCATGTTTTTACCAACTAAGACGCATCTCGAAACTAAAGCACATCCTGAGTGTCCGTCTTCTGAAATCGGTGGTCCACACTTTCATCACCTCAAGGCTGGATTACTCTAACTCCTGCTTATATGGCATCAGTAAAGCAGCTCTTTCTAGACTTCAGCTGGTCCAGAATTCAGCAGCTAGGTTGCTGACTGGAGCTGACAGAAGACAACACATTTCTCCAATTCTGAAATCTCTCCACTGGTTGCCCGTGCAGTTCAGGATAAATTTCCAAATTATGCTTCTCACTTACAAATCCTTGAACCATCAAGCTCCTCCATATCTGTGTGAACTTGTCCATTACTACAATCCGCCGCGTGCTCTCAGGTCTGAAGATAAGCTCCTCCTACCTGTTCCCAATGCTCGTTTAAAAAGCCGTGGAGAAAGGGCTTTCTCTGTCTGTGCACCAAAGCTGTGGAACGCATTACCACTGCTAGTGAGGCTAGCACCAACAGCTAGCATTTTTAAATCACGACTGAAAACTCACTACATCAACCTAGCTTATACAACATAATTATGAACCTCAGTCACAACTGCATTGTTAAAAAATGGAATTCACAATATCAACTTCCGCATTATTCTGGTTCTTTTTAAAATGTTTTTCTAATTTTTTATTCTCCCTGTGTTTTATTGCTTTCTACCTGTTAGTTCTGGGAATTTTGTTTATATTTCCTTTTTATCTTTTATCTGTGTTCGACATGATTGTATAATTTTTTGCTGGTTTAATTAACTAACATTTTTAGTGTACAGCACCTTGTTTGGTTGTAATGCCTTGTTGAATGCGCTTTATAAATAAAATTGGATTGGATTGGATAGGAATAAAAAGTTGAGGAATAATAACGGAATTTGTTTCAGTTTTGCTCAAATTTCATGTCAGAATAAAAAACATTTGTAAAATCAAAGTGATTTTTGCTTCATTTAAGTGGCAAATAATTATTGGAAAATGTTGTTGGTGTTAAGATAATCATCACTAAGATAATTTCTATTGTAATATTTGAAACCATTTTTTCTAAAACTTCTGATTATTTAGGAACAAAGTTTAATTCAACATGGCCTGAAAACCTGAGTGTGTTCAGTGAGCTGCATCAGTTTCTGTTCAGTCAGACTGAAAGAGGTTTTTGTACGATGCTTTTTCACTGTGTGAACACACCGCCATAGTGGTAACTCTGACAGTAATAAACTCCTGCATCTTCAGCCTGAACTGCACTGATGGTCAGAGTGAAGTCAGATCCAGATCCACTGCCTGAAAAACGATCTGAGATCCCTGATTCTCGGATGGTAGCGTAATAAATGAGGAGTTTAGGAGGTTGTCCATCTTTCTGTTGGTACCAGGATAAACGGTTCTTGCTGTTATAAACAGCGACATCCTGACTGGTCCTACATGAGATGGAGACGGAGCGTCCCACAGCAGAGCTCACTGCTGCAGACTGAGTCACTGTGACCTGACCTCTGGACTCTGAGGAGACAAAAGCAGAAAGCAGCTTGATGCTTTTGTGGGCTTCATTCCAGAGGGACAGATGTTCATAGAGGAGAGGAGTTGGATTCTCTGGACTTTACCTGTGAAGCAGCAGCAGAGGAGAGTCCAGATGAGGACGCAGATCAAAGTCATGGTTTTGATCAGGAGGATTTCCAAGTCTTCTGTTGTGATGAAGGACAGCTGTCAGTCATCCAGTCTTCAACTCTCAGGACTATAAACTCTCCCAGAGCACTGGAGCATGGTGCTGCTGATGCAAAGTCATGCTCTATGGAAATCTGCTGACTCACTCCAGCAGGATCATGGCTCAGTCTGAGGACGGTTCCCATCTGTTACTTTTATCAGTTTTATTAATTTTACAGGACATATTTTCCAATATGTTTAGGTTTATTGTTCTGGGAAATTATTTTATAGTATTTTATTTTTTTAACATTTGTAAAGGAACTTCCATCGATAACCTGAATTTTCTAATTGTTAAAAAACAAACACTGTTTCTAATTTTCACATTAATTTCATGTTTCACAAAGTTCTACCTATCTATACCAATCAGACACTTTTTTGAGCAAAACTCTAATCTGACAGATTATTTTGCCGAATCTTGTTAATGAGTCAATAACATTTTAGAAAGTTTGTTTAATTTTAGGTTTTGTAATTTAAGTGTATAAAAGTCTGCTTTTATCATTTATAATTTAAATAAATACCAACAGCTGATTGTAAACATCTGTTTCTTACTAAAGTTTTAATCATTTCCCACAAACTTTTGTTTTAGTCAAACATCTGGTCAAATTTAAATGTGAATGATATATTTTACACTTTATGAGACAAATGTTTAGTTTAGCTTAAACTGGTGAGTTTGTTTGTGTCCGACTCACAGAGCCGTGTCTCTCAGAGGTTTTTGTACGACGACTCAACCAGTTTGTATCACTGTGGTGGACGTTTGGTGGAGGAACCAGACTGGAGGTTGGAAGTAAGTTTAAATTTATTCTTTCTGATTTTAAATGAATGTGCAGTAATTTTTCCTCTTATTGATCTCAATAATCTCATTAAAATCAACATTAAAATGTAAACAACAATTTATTTTAAGCTGATGGAAAATAGTCCAGCGATCTGTTCTGTGTCTGATGTAGAGATAATAATCATGGTCATTTACTCATCTGGAGGTTTTCTTCTCATCATTTTAGACAAACTGAGATCAAAGGTGAAAGAAGTTCTTTGTGATTCTGTCAACAAAACTTTAGAAAATAAACAAACAAAAATTTAATGATGGATTTTTAGTTTGTTACAGAAGAACTTGCTGATTTTTTATTACATATTTTAAATGTTTGTGTAGTTTAGGGATTAATCTATAATAATTAAATGTTTAACATTGATTAGGTGTTTTATTATTTCAGTCATTTAAACATTTTTTTACTTATATGAAGTAGTTCAGTTTTACTAGAGAATAATTTTAAGAGAAAACCTTAAATTAAGGTAAAAAGTTATTTAAAAGCTTTTCAATTTAAGTTAAGGGTGACTTTAATTGTAGCAACCAAACATTTTTATTTCATTTAAACTCTGATTCTCTTCTAGCTGATAAACTGACAGGTTTCTATAAAGGAAGTGAAACAAGGTGTGAGAGTCAGACTGGTGGAGCAGAAAAACATCTGCTAGAAACTTCCTGATGAGAAAAAGTTAAACTTCTTCTGATCTCTAACCTGATTGGTGTCTCCTAGGTGATACCCGTCCCATCCTGACGGTGCTGCCTCCCTCCAGTGAGGAGCTGCAGCAGGGGAAGGCCACGCTCATGTGTCTGGCCAACAAGGGCTTCCCCTCAGACTGGAGTCTGTCCTGGAAGGTGGACGGCAGCAGCAGCAGCTGGGAGGAGGACAGGAGCCCCGTGGTGATGAAGGACGGCCTCTACAGCTGGAGCAGCACCCTGAGGCTCACTGCAGACCAGTGGAGGAAGGTGGGCTCTGTGACCTGTGAGGCCACCCAGGGCTCCCAGTCTCCAGTCTCAGAGTCACTCAGGAGAGACCAGTGTTCCCAGTGAAAACAGGCTCACTGGACCTTATCCCATCATTTTTTTCTTGCAAATTTTGTCATTGTCTGTATTTTTGATTGATGTTTCCCAGATTTAAACAGTTAGTTATTTCATTATCTGCACACAATAAAACAGATTAAATAAAATAAATGATGTTGCATTGTGTATTTCATAATTATTACAAATTGTTTCTTATTTTTATTTAATCATTTTCAGTTTTTTATCTAAATAGAAGGATTAACCAAGTCAGGCCAACCAACTTTGCCACTGAGTGATTTAATTCATTAGTTAAAAATCAAAGTTTAGAACTTCTTAAAACATGAAGTAAAACTCTGTTCATCATCAGTATGATTTTACCTGCAGCTTTCAATAAACATATGTAACGATTATAATGTTTAGTAGATCATCAAAGCAAATATTTGATTTCCTTTTACACAAAACTCATGAGTTTTTCAACCTAAAATGTTTATTACAAAAATTGTAATCTGGAAGATGCAGCTGGACCTTGTCCACAGTCTTAGCGCTGACTCCTCAGGAGGGTCACGGACCTAAATCAGCCAAACAATAAGAGACAAAGTAGCCAAACCAATGACCTTAATGAAGTATTCACTCCTCTACTAAACAGATACCTGAGCTGATAATTCAGTTGATTATATCATCAGTTCAATAAATTCTAAATATTTTTATTACCTCAACATATGATTGTTTTGACCAGTAAAAATAAAGAAATAGAACTAACACTGACCACAGAAAAACAAACAAAACAGGACTATAGTATAACACAAGCTAAACCTAAATGTTCCCTCTTCACTGTTTTTGGGTCCATTTTTTTGTAAAGATACATTTTATTTTATAAATTTCCTTTTGTTACGGACACTGCAATTTCTCCTGAGATCAGCACCCTGGACAGCACCTGTTCAAGCTGCTACTCTTGCTCCAGCACCGTTTCCTGCTCTCCCATTCTGCACCTAGGACAGAGGCACGCTGCTGCGCTGCACCAACTATGTATAATAAATCAGCTTTAAAAGGCAGAGCCTGTCAGTCAGTCGGTTTGTGCTGTTGTCCTCTTGACTGTGGCTTGTTTGAGTGCTTTGAAAAGAACGTGTTTAACCGTTAAATGCTCCTAGTGCTTTTTGTGTTTGCAGACAGGTGTGTTTTTGTGAATAAATGTGGCTATGCTAATGAAAAGCATCTATTGATTTCACAGGATGTGTATTTTTGAGGGAATTACCAAAAAATGTTTAAAAGTCAGATGTACTATAGTTGACTTAATGCTGACATGATTTTATAGCGTTCCTGCTCCTCTTGTGGAATCAACTCCCATATTTGTTTTCCAATAAGCCTAAAAATTAGCATAATTTGTTTTTAAATAATCTGTCTGGGAGCAGAGAGGCAGGACACATATGCAAACACACACAGTCAGTCATCTGATCATCAGCTGTCTCTGTGTTTCGTCTTCACTGATGAAACATCTCACTGATACGTGTGTGTGTGTGTGTGTGTGTGTGTGTGTGTGTGTGTGTGTGTGTTTCTTTAGCATTTTTTTATCTTTTTTAACAACATGTGAAATGAAATCTTGACATTTTTCATTCTAGTTTATATTACAGTCATACAACGAAGTTCACCTTCATTTTAAAGTGAAGAAAACAAATAAATTATAAATAGTTAATTAAACATGAAATAAAACACAAAAGTTTAAAATTCACCTGAGAGAAGAAATTCAGATTCTAAATATTTGTTTTTCTTTTTTGTTTGTTTTTTTAGCTCAGTGTGTTCTCTGTTTCAGGTCTTAAAATAATTTTGACAAGTTTAATCATCTCTACATCCTAAAACCCTTAAATTTATTTTGCTAAAGCCATGTGGTGTGTTTGTAAACTTGATTAGATGAACACTTTGTAAACACCTGTCATGGTCTGTGTCAGCGTCTCATCTCATGTGTCTCCTTTTGTCCTCCATTCGTCTCTAGGTGCTCATTTTGTGTCTTCTAGCACCCTCATGTGTCGTGTCTGCATCTTCCTCATGTGTCTCCTGCTGTTCCCCATTTGCCCTCTAGGTTTCCCTCCTCAGACATCCCCCCTCCCAGGTCCTGTGCTCTCTTGGCTCCCTCTTAGCCACGCCCCTGTAGTTTCTGTCTGTAGTGTTTTTCTTTAGTGTCAGCTTCCCCTTAGAATATTAGTTATGGTTATTGCCTTCTGATCTTTTGTTTTTCTCTTAGGTAATTTTCCTTTGTTACAGCCTTTCTTTAGTGTGTTTTTTCCTCCTCCCTGATTTAGTAATTGTGTTCACCTGGTCCCTCTCCCCACACACCTGCAATTCATCTCCCTCTCTTCTTCCCAGTCTATATAAGCCCTGTCTTGTCTCTGTGTTGTGTCGGTCCATTGTATGTTTGTCAGCGTTTGTTTGTGCTCTGTTTGAGCTTTTGTCTCCAGGTCTTCGTGCTCTTCGTGAGCTTTGGTCTCCAGATTTTGGTGCTCTGAGAGAGCTTTTTGATGTCCTGTTCTCCAGGACTTTTGGACTTTTGGCCCGCTGCCATTTTTGGATTTATTTTTTGTTCTTTCTAAGAATAAATGATTTTTACTTTTACTACTTCTGCCTCGAGTCATCCTGGGTTATCTGCATATTTGGGTCCTAAACATTTCCCTCAACGTGACAGAATGGACCGACCAAGCAGGACCCAGCGGACCCCAGGTAAACGGGACCTCAGCCAAGGAATGTACTCCTTCAGTGGTGACCCGGACACCTGTCGCAATTTTATTTGGGACTTTGTGGGATTTATGGATATGGAGGACATGGACATTGCAGTAGCTATGGTGTACTGCCTGGAGGGAAGAGCCCTGCAATGGGCAAACCACTATTTGAAGCTATATCCTCTAGAGGAGATTGCTTTTTGGATTTTCGCTAAGGATCTTCAGGACGCCTTCTGCTACCCAAACACACTCACCTCATCACCTCCATCCGGCCCAGACTACACAACCAGCTTTTTCCCGGTGGATCACCATCTCACACCTACCGAGGTAGTGTTAAGCGCCCTCTCAGTGTCTCCGAGGGTCCTAACCTCCACACCTTCGCCTGGACCAGACAGCACTGCTGCATCCTCTCCGGTGGGCTGTCATTCCTCCTCGGTTCCTGCCAGCGTCATCTCCATGCCTCTGAGCCAAAAATCCCCACGCCGACGACGCTGCAACCATCGTGCTCCAGCGGTGGTCCCGGTGGACGCATCACATCCTGCTCCGGCGGTGATCCCGGTGGACGCATCGCATCCTGCTCCGGCGGTGGTTCCGGAGGACGCATCGCATCCTGCTCCGGCGGTGGTTACGGAGGACGCATCGCATCCTGCTCCGGCGGTGGTTCTGGAGGACGCACCGCATCCGGTCCAGTCCGTCCACGAGGCTCCGGTCCAGTCCGACACCTCCAGTCTCCAACTCTGAAGTAGACGTTTCCTGCTCCGGCTCCGAAGTGGACGTTTCCAGCTCCGAAGTGGACGTTTCCAGCTCCGAAGTGGACGTTTCCAGCTCCGAAGTGGACGTCTCGACATCCCCGGCTCTGAAGTGGACGTCTCGATGTCCCCGGCTCCGAAGTGGACGTCTCGACGTCCCCGACTCTGAAGTGGACGTCTCGACGTCCCCGGCTCAAGTCTTGCTGTCACAAGTGCTCCCGTCTCCCTGTCACAAGTGCTCCCGTCTCCCTGTCACAAGTGCTCCCGTCTCCCTGTCACAAGTGCTCCCGTCTCCCTGTCACAAGTGCTCCCGTCTCCCTGTCACAAGTGCTCCCGTCTCCCTGTCACAAGTGCTCCCGTCTCCCTGTCACAAGTGCTCCCGTCTCCCTGTCACAAGTGCTCCCGTCTCCCTGTCACAAGTGCTCCCGTCTCCAGAGTCCCAAGTGTCCCATGTGTCCCCGTTACCAGAGTCCTTTCCTCATCCTCGTCCTCCAAATCCCCCGATCCCTGGATTTGCCTGGTCCCACCTCCCGGTTCCCCATCGCCGGCCCCCACGACTTGCCCGTTCCCAGCTCCTGGTTTCCCGTCGCCGGTCCCTTTGAGTCTCCTATTCCCTCCTCGCCCACCCTTTTGGGTGGGTTATGTTTTGGTCCCTCCTCTCCCACCCTGTGGTGTCTCGTGTCTTGTTCTTGTCTTGTCTTTTGCTTGTGGTGTTTGTCTGTCTTGTGGGCATCTGGTGTCCGCCCTTGGGGGGGGGGGGGGGGGGGGGGGGATTTCGGTACTGTCATGGTCTGTGTTGGCGTCTCATCTCATGTGTCTCCTTTTGTCCTGCATTCGTCTCTAGGTGCTCATTTTGTGTCTTCTAGCACCCTCATGTGTCGTGTCTGCATCTTCCTCATGTGTCTCCTGCTGTTCCCCATTTGCCCTCTAGGTTTCCCTCCTCAGACATCCCCCCTCCCAGGTCCTGTGCTCTCTTGGCTCCCTCTTAGCCACGCCCCTGTAGTTTCTGTCTGTAGTGTTTTTCTTTAGTGTCAGCTTCCCCTTAGAATATTAGTTATGGTTATTGCCTTCTGATCTTTTGTTTTTCTCTTAGGTAATTTTCCTTTGTTACAGCCTTTCTTTAGTGTGTTTTTTCCTCCTCCCTGATTTAGTAATTGTGTTCACCTGGTCCCTCTCCCCACACACCTGCAATTCATCTCCCTCTCTTCTTCCCAGTCTATATAAGCCCTGTCTTGTCTCTGTGTTGTGTCGGTCCATTGTATGTTCGTCAGTGTTTGTTCGTGCTCTGTTTGAGCTTTTATCTCCAGGTCTTCGTGCTCTTCGTGAGCTTTGGTATCCATGTTTTGGTGCTCTGAGAGAGCTTTTTGATGTTCTGTTCTCCAGGACTTTTGGACTTTGGGCCCGCTGCCATTTTTGGATTTATTTTTTGTTCTTCCTAAGAATAAATGATTTTTACTTTTACAACTTCTGCCTCGAGTCATCCTGGGTTATCTGCATATTTGGGTCCTAAACATTTCCCTCAACGTGGCAACACCAGTTTTGAAGACGACTCCTGCTAACAGTTAGGAATAAAAAGTTGAGGAATAATAACAATTTGTTTCAGTTTTGCTCATATTTCATGTCTGAATAAAAAAACATTTGTAAAATCAAAGTGATTTTTGCTTCTTTTAAGTGGCAAAGAATTATTGAAAAATGTTGTTGGTGTTAAGATAATCATCACTAAAGATAATTTCTATTGTAATATTTGAAACCATTTTTTTTCTAAAACTTCTGATTATTTAGGAACAAAGTTTAATTCATCATGGCCTGAAAACCTGAATGTGTTCAGTGAGCTGCATCAGTTTCTGTTCAGTCAGACTGAAAGAGGTTTTTGTACGATGCTTTTTCACTGTGTGAACACATTGCCAAGGTGGTAACTCTGACAGTAATAAACTCCTGCATCTTCAGCCTGAACTGCACTGATGGTCAGAGTGAAGTCAGCTCCATTCCCTGATCCACGTCCACTGAATTGATTTGGATATTCAGACTTGCGAATCGTGGTAGAATAAATCAGGAGTTTAGGAGCTTCTCCAGGTGTCTGATGGTACCAGGACAGATCGTGTTTCAAACGAAAATCACTAGCTGCTGGTGGACTGACTTTACAGTCCACAGAGACGGTCTGACCAAGCTGCACTGATCTGGCTGCTGGCTGAGTCACAACATGTTGTCCATCAGACCCTGAGGAGAGAGAAGAAACACTGGACATGAGATGGTGAGGTGAAACTCGGCTACACTCCAAATGATTTTCACATGACAGAAACATGATTCTCCTCACCCTGAGTGAAGCAGAGGAGAGTCCAGATGAGGACGCAGATCAAAGTCATGGTTTTGATCAGGAGGATTTCCAAGTCTTCTGTTGTGATGGAGGACAGCTGTCAGTCATCCAGTCTTCAACCCTCAGGACTATAAACTCTCCCAGAGCACTGGAGCATGGTGCTGCTGATGCAAAGTCATGCTCTATGGAAATCTGCTGACTCACTCCAGCAGGATCATGGCTCAGTCTGAGGACGGTTCCCATCTGTTACTTTTATCACTATTATTTATTTTACAGGACCGATTTTCCAAGATGTTTAGGTTTATTGTTCTGGGAAATTATTTTATAGTATTTTATTTATTTAACATTTGTAAAGTAACTTCCATCGATAACCAGAATTTTCTAATTGTTAAAAAATAAACACTGTTTCTAATTTTCACATTAATTTCATGTTTCACAAAGTTCTACCTATCTATACCAATCAGACACTTTTTGAGCAAAACTAATCTGACAGATTATTTTGCCGAATCTTGTTAATGAGTCAATAAAATATTTTCCTTCATTGAAGAAAGATTGTTAATTTTAGATTTTGTAATTTAAGTGTATAAAAGTCTGCTTTTATGATTTATCATTTAAATAAATACAAACAGCTGATTGTAAACATCTGTTTCTTACAAAAGTTTTAATCATTTCCCACAAACTTGTTTTAGTCAAACATCTGGTCAAATTTAAATGTGAATGATATCTTTTACACTTTATGAGACAAATGTTTAGTTTAGCTTAAACTGGTGAGTTTGTTTGTGTCCGACTCACAGAGCCGTGTCTCTCAGAGGTTTTTGTACGACGACTCAACCAGTTTGTATCACTGTGGTGGACGTTTGGTGGAGGAACCAGACTGGAGGTTGGAAGTAAGTTTAAATTTATTCTTTCTGGTTTTAAATGAATGTGCAGTAATTTTTCCTCTTATTGATCTCATTAATCTAATTAAAATCAACATTAAAATGTAAACAACAATTTATTTTAAGCTGATGGAAAATAGTCCAGCGATCTGTTCTGTGTCTGATGTAGAGATAATAATCATGGTCATTTACTCATCTGGAGGGTTTCTCCTCATCATTTTAGACAAACTGAGATCAAAGGTGAAAGAAGTTCTTTTGTGATTCTGTCAACAAAACTTTAGAAAATAAACAAACAAAAATCTAATGATGGATTTCTAGTTTGTTACAAAAGAACTTGCTGATTTTTTATTACATATTTTAAATGTTTGTGTAGTTTAGGGATTAATCTATAATAATTAAATGCTTCACATGGATTAGGTGTTTTATTATTTCAGTCATTTAAACATGTTTTTACTTATTATATGAAGTAGTTCAGTTTTACTAGAATATAATTTTAAGAGAAAACCTTAAAATAAGGTAAAAAGTGATTTAAAAGCTTTTCAATTTAAGTTAAGGGTGACTTTTTTAATTGTAGCAACCAAACATTTTTATTTCATTTAAACTCTGATTCTCTTCTAGCTGATAAACTGACAGGTTTCTATAAAGGAAGTGAAACAAGGTGTGAGAGTCAGACTGGTGGAGCAGAAAAACATCTGCTAGAAACTTCCTGATGAGAAAAAGTCAAACTGCTTCTGATCTCTAACCTGATTGGTGTCTCCTAGGTGATACCCGTCCCATCCTGACGGTGCTGCCTCCCTCCAGTGAGGAGCTACAGCAGGGGAAGGCCACGCTCATGTGTCTGGCCAACAAGGGCTTCCCCTCAGACTGGAGTCTGTCCTGGAAGGTGGACGGCAGCAGCAGCAGCTGGGAGGAGGACAGGAGCCCCGTGGTGATGAAGGACGGCCTCTACAGCTGGAGCAGCACCCTGAGGCTCACTGCAGACCAGTGGAGGAAGGTGGGCTCTGTGACCTGTGAGGCCACCCAGGGCTTCCAGTCTCCAGTCTCAGAGTCACTCAGGAGAGACCAGTGTTCCCAGTGAAAGCAGGCTCACTGGACCTGTTCTCATCACTGGGTTTTTTCTTGCGAATGTTGTCATTTTCTGTATTTTTGATTTATATTTCCTAGTTTAAACAGTTTCTTATTTCAACATCTGCACACAATAAAACAGATTAAATAAATTAAAGTATGTGTTATTGTGTATTTCATAATTGTTACAGATTGTTTCTTATTTTTATTTAATCATTTTCAGTTTTTTATTTAAATAGAAAGATTAACCAAGTCAGACCAACCAACTTTTCCACTGAGTGATTTTATTCATTAGTTAAAAATCAAAGTTTAGAACTTCATAAAACATGAAGTAAAACTCTGTTTATCATCAGAATGATTTTACCTGCAGCTTTCAATAAACATATGTAACGATTATAATGTTTAGTAGATCATCAAAGCAAATATTTGATTTCCTTTGACAAAAACTCATGAGTTTTTCAACCTAAAAAAATGTTTATAAAAAAATTGTAATCTGGAAGATGCAGCTGGACCTTGTCCACAGTCTTAGCGCTGACTCCTCAGGAGGGTCACGGACCTAAATCAGCCAAACAATAAGAGACAAAGTAGCCAAACCAATGACCTTAATGAAGTATTTACTCCTCTACTAAACAGATACCTGAGCTGATAATTCAGTTGATTATATCATCAGTTCAGTAAATTCTAAATATTATTACTTCAACAAATGATTGTTTTGACCAATAAAAATAAAGAAATAGAACTAACACTGACCACAGAAAAACAAACAAAACAGGACTATAGTACAGGTGCTGGCCAGTAAATTAGAATATCATCAAAAGGTTGAAAATATTTCAGTAATTCCATTCAAAACGTGAAACTTGTACATTATATTCATGCAATGCACACAGACCAATGTATTTCCAATGTTCATTACATTTAAATTTGATATTCATAAGTGACAACTAATGAAAACTCCAAATTTGGTATCTCAAAAAATTAGAATATTCTGAAAAGGCTGAATATAGAAGACACCTGCTGCCACTCTAATCAGCTGATTTACTCAAAACACCTGCAAAGGCCTTTAAAAGGTCCCTCAGTCTTGTTTTGAAGGCACCACAATCATGGGGAAGACTTCTGACTTAACAGCTGTCCAAAAGACAATCATTGACACCTTGCACAAGGAGGGCAAGACACAAAAGGTGATTGCTAAAGAAGCTGGCTGTTCGCAGAGCTCTGTGTCCAAGCACATTAACAGACAGGCGAAGGGACGGAAAAAATGTGGTAGAAAAAAGTGTACAAGCTCTAGGGATAACCGCACCCTGCAGAGAATTGTGACGACAAACCCATTCAAAAATGTGGGGGAGATCCACAAAGAGTGGACTGCAGCTGGAGTCGGCGCTTCAAGAACCACCACGAGGAGACTCATGAAAGACATGGGATTCAGGTGTCGCATTCCGTGTGTCAAGCCACTCTTGAACAAGAAACAGCGCAAGAAGCGTCTCGCCTGGGCCAAGGACAAAAAGGACTGGACTGATGCTGAGTGGTCCAAAGTTATGTTTTCTGATGAAAGCAAGTTCTGCATTTCCTTTGGAAATCAAGGACCCAGAGTCTGGAGGAAGAGCGGAGAAGCACAGAATCCACGTTGCATGAGGTCCAGTGTAAAGTTTCCACCGTCAGTGATGGTGTGGGGTGCCATGTCATCTGCCGGTGTTGGCCCACTCTGTTTCCTGAGGTCCAGGGTCAATGCAGCCGTCTACCAGGAAGTTTTAGAGCACTTCATGCTTCCTGCTGCTGACCAACTTTATGGGGATGCAGACTTCACCTTTCAACAGGACTTGGCACCTGCACACAGTGCCAAAACCACCAGCACCTGGTTCAAGGACCATGGTATCCCTGTCCTTGATTGGCCAGCAAACTCGCCTGACCTTAACCCCATAGAAAATCTATGGGGTATTGTGAAGCGGAGGATGCAATACGCTAGACCCAACAATGCAGAGGAGCTGAAGACGACTATCAGAGCAACCTGGGCTCTCATAACACCTGAGCAGTGCCACAGACTGATCGAGTCCATGCCACGCCGCATTACTGCAGTTATTGAGGCAAAAGGAGCCCCGACTAAGTATTGAGTGCTATACATGCACATTCTTTTCATGTTCATTCTTTTCAGTTGGCCAACATTAGAGAAACAAACATTTTTTCATTGGCCTTTAGAATATTCTAATTTTCTGAGATACCAGATTTGATGTTTTCATTGGTTGTCACCTATAAATATCAAAATTAAACGTAATAAACATCGGAAATACATTGGTCTGTGTGCATTGCATGAATATAATGTACAAGTTTCACGTTTTGAATGGAATTACTGAAATATTTTCAACCTTTTGATGATATTCTAATTTACTGGCCAGCACCTGTATAACACAAGCTAAACCTAAATGTTCCCTCTTCACTGTTTTTGGGTCCATTTTTTTGTAAAGATACATTTTATTTTATAAATTTCCTTTTGTTACGGACGCTGTAATTTCTCCTGAGATCAGCACCCTGGACAGCACCTGTTCAAGCTGCTACTCTTGCTCCAGCATCGTTTCCTGCTCTCCCATTCTGCACCTAGGACAGAGGCACGCTGCTGCGCTGCACCAACTATGTATAATAAATCAGCTTTAAAAGGCAGAGCCTGTCAGTCAGTCGGTTTGTGCTGTTGTCCTCTTGACTGTGGCTTGTTTGAGTGCTTTCAAAACAATGTGTTTAACCGTTAAATGCTCCTTGTGCCTTTTGTGTTTGCAGACAGGTGTGTTTTTGTGAATAAATGTGGCTATGCTAATGAAAAGCATCTCTCATCAGGAACATTAACTCATTCACAGAATTCAAAAAACAACTCAAAACTCACTTCTTCATAACCACGAATCAACTTTGAATTTTAGAGTGCCTTGTTTGCTGATGTTTACGTATGTGTACTTTGTTTTATTGCATGATTTGTGTTTTTATTCTGTACAGTGTCCTTGAGTGACCAGAAAGGCGCTTTTAAATAAAATGTATTATTATTATTATTATTATTATTGATTTCACAGGATGTGTATTTTTGAGGGAATTACCAAAATAATTTTAAAAAGTCAGACGTACTATGTTTGATTTAATGCTGACATAATTTTATAGCGTTCCTGCTCCTCTTGTGGCATCGACTCTAGTGATGCACGATTGACTTCTAACCTACGGTACTCGCAGGTTACTTGCGGGTCGGGTCAATAAATTTTTACTTCAGTGCGGTGCAGTTTGGGGCGGGTTCATGAAATACATACATATATATATATATATATATATATATATGTGCACACTGAGGATAAAGACAATAATCAATGTTTCAATTTTTTAAAACACAATATTTAAGACAGTTATTTAAACACGGTCATGTTTTAAAACGTAACTCCGCACAGATAACCTTCGACCCCAGGACGTAGGCACGTACAGAAAGCGCCAGGGAAGTGTGCCTAAGCTCCAAGCAGGTGGCAGGCAGCCACGTCAACAAAACGATGGAGGACAATATTTTGGATAAAATTCACTCGGGAGTTTACATTCTTACAAGAAAGGAGGGACAAACTGCTAAATCGCGTGTTTGGGAAAGATTCAGTGAGGTAATCAGCGCAGACAACAGCAGCAGCATTTGCTGGACAAAAATAAGGACATGACAGGTAATGCGTTTGTTGGCTTTCAAAATGTTTGATAAAAGTTGTAAAATGTTTTACTATTTTGTTTGCCCAAGCAGGGGCTCTAGGTGCTGTTTCTGTATTGGTTTATTGCACTATTAGTAGGGTAAAAAACAAAAATAACCCTTATTTAATAAAATGTTAAACTTTCTTAATCTGCCTATTTTATTATTTTTTATTTTATTTTAGCCTTTAAAAATGTAAATGTTACCACCATTTTCCAGTGCCAAATTGGGGGACTGTTTAACGCACCTTTGTCTGAATAAAAGCACATTCAATCAATAATGTGTTTTAATGAGGTGGGTCAGGGCGGCGCGGGTTGTAAAAATAGACCTAGTGATGCGGGGCGGTTTGGTGCGGGTCAGACGTTATCAAATCTGCAGTACCTGCAGGTTGTAAAAAACTCTAACCCGCGCATCACTAATCGACTCCCATATTTTTCTTTCTAATAAACCTAAAAATTAGCATAATTTTTAAATAATCTGTCTGGGAGCAGAGAGGCAGGACACATATGCAAACACACACAGTCAGCTCATCATCAGCGTCTCTATGTTTCCTCCCCACTGCTGAAACATCTCACTGATACGTGTGTGTGTTTCTTTAGCATTTTTTATCTTTTTTTAACAACATGTGAAATGAAATCTTGACATTTTTCAGTCTAGTTTATAATACAGTCATAAAACAATGTTCACCTTCATTTTAAAGTGAAGAAAGCAAATGAAATATAGTTAATTAAACGTGAAATAAAACACAAAAGTTTAAAATTCACCTGAGAGAAGAAATTCAGATTCTAAAGTTTTGTTTTTCTTTTTTGTTTGTTTTTTAGCTCAGTGTTTTCTCTGTTTCAGGTCCTAACATCATTTCAACAAGTTGAATCATCTCTACGTCCTAAAACTCAAACTTATTTTGCTAAAGCCGTGTGGTGTGTTTGTAAACTTGATTAGATGAACACTTTGTAAACACCAGTTTTGAAGACGACTCCTGCTAACAAGAATAAAAAGTTGAGGAATAAAAACAGAATTTGTTTCAGTTTTGCTCAAATTTCATGTCAGAATAAAAAACATTTGTAAAATCAAAGTGATTTTTGCTTCTTCTCTTCTGGCACTCACAGAGTACAGTCACTTCCCTTTTTGCTCCCTTATCTTTTTTCCCAAGTCTCTTTGTCCCGTCTGCCTACAGAGCGCTTCTCTGCATTTCTTCTGGGATTCCCTATTTTTTTCAGAGATGGATTTAATTAATTGGTCATTCAACACGATTGATAAGATCTTTACCACGATGAGAACGGAGGAGGGGGCTCCCACCTGCCCTCAAGGGACACACGCAGCGGGATATGCGCTCGATACCTGGAAGTTCTGGAGGATCTTTGTCTCTCTCAGCTGTCCATTGAGGACGTCGAAGATATGTAGATATTTGGCCTGATGATCACTGGATTTCTTCTGATTGGAGTGGGAGGATATCTGGTTTTCTGGAAATTTGGGAAGTCGGGAGCGATTGGAGTACGACCCGCACCCATGGCAAGCACCGCCCGGGCGGACGCCTCACTGACTTGGACGTTACTCGAGGTGAACCGTAAGCTGGACAAGGTCCTTGCTGCGTTGCCGGTATTAGTGCGCAAAATGGTTGTCATCACAGAGAGGGTCACTGGACGATGTGGAGACGTTTAATACCTAAATTGGCTTCACTGGAGGACTTGAATGATCAATACAGACTTTAAGGCAGAGAGGAAAATTATCTCTGCCTGACCCAAACAAAGCCCTGTTATCCAATCTGATGCCATAGCAGCCTTGGAGTTGCGTGCAACAACCCCCACGATGGAAGGAATGCAGACAGATGCTGTGACCCCCCCCCCCCCCCCCCCCCCGCCTTCAGATTGTGGTCTCTGCATAGCGAGGTCATCAAAATGGAGGAACTCAATGTGCTCTGTGCTTTCCCATGACCTCCCACCAGCCTGTGGATACAGTTGGCTGAGCGCCACACGGGCTGCTCCTGCTGGGGAAACCAGGAACCCCCCACCGGGTCTCATGTTGAGAACTGTGACGTTCGTGCTTACATGTTGGGGTGTTTTATTTTTGCATAGTAGAGCTACTCCCTGCCAGGTGTAACTCTGCTCTGCCTTTTTTTCCCTCCCCTAATTCTCCTCATGTAATCCCCTCTTCATCTACTGAAATGAGCGCCGTTATGGCTGCTCTCCTGATCTGCCTGTATCTGTTCTGTCTATATGTGTGTGTGTGTAACCTTGGTCAGGCTGTTCTGTGGAGTCAAGTTCCTATGCTCTGCTTCGCTGGAGCGCTGGCAATAAAATTCTCTCTGATTCTCTGATTCTCTGATTTTAAGTGGCAAATAATTATTGGAAAATGTTGTTGGTGTTAAGATAATCATCACAAAAGATAATTTCTATTGTAATATTTGAAACCTTTTTTTTCTAAAACTTCTGATTATTTAGGAACAAAGTTTAATTCATCATGGCCTGAAAACCTGAGTGTGTTCAGTGAGCTGCATCAGTTTCTGTTCAGTCAGACTGAAAGAGGTTTTTGTACGATGCTTTTTCACTGTGTGAACACACCGCCATAGTGGTAACTCTGACAGTAATAAACTCCTGCATCTTCAGCCTGAACTCCACTGATGGTCAGAGTGAAGTCAGCTCCATTCCCTGATCCACTTCCACTGAATCTGGAGGAGATTCCTGAAAATCTGCTTGATGTTAAATAAATCAGGAGTTTAGGAGCTTCTCCAGGTGTCTGATGGTACCAGGAAAGATACCGGAAGTGTTGAAAACCAGCAAAGGCTGCTGGTGGACTGACTTTACAGTCCACAGAGACGGTCTGACCAAGCTGCACTGATCTGGCTGCTGGCTGAGTCACAACATGTTGTCCATCAGACCCTGAGGAGAGAGAAGAAACACTGGACATGAGATGGTGAGGTGAAACTCAGCTGCACTCCATATGATTTTCACATGACAGAAACATGATTCTCCTCACCCTGAGTGAAGCAGAGGAGAGTCCAGATGAGGACGCAGATCAAAGTCATGGTTTTGATCAGGAGGATTTCCAAGTCTTCTGTTGTGATGAATGACAGCTGTCAGTCATCCAGTCTTCAACTCTCAGGACTATAAACTCTCCCAGAGCACTGGAGCATGGTGCTGCTGATGCAAAGTCATGCTCTATGGAAATCTGCTGACTCACTCCAGCAGGATCATGGCTCAGTCTGAGGACGGTTCCCATCTGTTACTTTTATCACTATTATTTATTTTACAGGACCGATTTTCCAAGATGTTTAGGTTTATTGTTCTGGGAAAATATTTTATAGTATTTTATTTATTTTTAACATTTGTAAAGGAACTTCCATTGATAACCAGATTTTTCTAATTGTTAAAAAACAAACACTGTTTCTAATTTTCACATTAATTTCATGTTTCACAAAGTTCTACCTATCTATACCAATCAGACACTTTTTGAGCAAAACTCTAATCTGACAGATTATTTTGCCGAATCTTGTTAATGAGTCAATAAAATATTTTTCCTTCATTAAAGAAAGTTTGTTTAATTTTAGATTTTGTAATTTAGGTGTATAAAATTCTGCTTTTATCATTTATCGTTTAAAGAAATACAAACAGCTGATTGTAAACATCTGTTTCTTACAAAAGTTTTAATCATTTCCCACAAACTTTTGTTTTAGTCAAACATCTGGTCAAATTTAAAAGTGAATGATATCTTTTACACTTTATGAGACGAATGTTTAGTTTAGCTTAAACTGGTGAGTTTGTTTGTGTCAGACTCACAGAGCCGTGTCTCTCAGAGGTTTTTGTACGACGACTCAACCAGTTTGTATCACTGTGGTTGACGTTTGGTGGAGGAACCAGACTGGAGGTTGGAAGTAAGTTTAAATTTATTCTTTCTGATTTTAAATGAATGTGCAATAATTTTTCCTCTCATTGATCTCATTAAAATCAACATTAAAATGTAAACAACAATTTATTTTAAGCTGATGGCAAATAGTCCAGCGATCTGTTCTGTGTCTGATGTAGAGATAATAATCATGGTCATTTACTCACCTGGAGGGTTTCTTCTCATCATTTTAGACAAACTGAGATCAAAGGTGAAAGAAGTTCTTTGTGATTCTGTCAAGAAAACTTTAGAAAATAAACAAACAAAAATCTAATGATGGATTTCTAGTTTGTTACAGAAGAACTTGCTGATTTTTTATTACATATTTTAAATGTTTGTGAAGTTTAGGGATTAATCTATAATAATTAAATGTTTAACATTGATTAGGTGTTTTATTATTTCAGTCATTTAAACATTTTTTACTTATTATATGAAGTAGTTCAATTTTACTAGAGTATAATTTTAAGAGAAAATCTTAAATTAAGGTAAAAGTGATTTAAAAGCTTTTTAATTTAAGTTAAGGGTGACTTTTTTAATTGTAGCAACCAAACATTTTTATTTCATTTAAACTCTGATTCTCAGCTGATAAACTGACAGGTTTCTATAAAGGAAGTGAAACAAGGTGTGAGAGTCAGACTGGTGGAGCAGAAAAACATCTGCTAGAAACTTCCTGATGAGAAAAAGTCAAACTGCTTCTGATCTCTAACCTGATTGGTGTCTCCTAGGTGATACCCGTCCCATCCTGACGGTGCTGCCTCCCTCCAGTGAGGAGCTGCAGCAGGGGAAGGCCACGCTCATGTGTCTGGCCAACAAGGGCTTCCCCTCAGACTGGAGTCTGTCCTGGAAGGTGGACGGCAGCAGCAGCAGCTGGGAGGAGGACAGGAGCCCCGTGGTGATGAAGGACGGCCTCTACAGCTGGAGCAGCACCCTGAGGCTCACTGCAGACCAGTGGAGGAAGGTGGGCTCTGTGACCTGTGAGGCCACCCAGGGCTCCCAGTCTCCAGTCTCAGAGTCACTCATGAGAGACCAGTGTTCCCAGTGAAAAAAAAGTCTCCCTGGGAGTTTTTCTTCTGTCATTGTATTACCTTCCCAGAAACTCTTTTTTTATTTACCAGAATTCAAATGTTTTAAATTCAGTTTTTACACAATAAAGACAATTTATGAAGACACTTGTGCTCATGTTTATTTTTTATTCAGGAAATACTTGATTTTCCAATTTATGCTTTTTCCATCCATGCATTACCATCCGCTTATCTGGGATCAGGTCTCAGGGAAGCAGCCTAAGCGGCCTTTCTGGAGGAATTTCAAGGTGTTCCATTTTTAGCCAGGAGACATAGTCCCTTAAACGAGTCTTTGGTCTTTCTTAGGTCAAACTCCCAGTTGACGTGCCCGGAAACCTCAGCAGGCATCCTAATAAGATGCACGAGCCACCTCAACTGGCTCCTTTTGATGTGGAGGAGCAGCGGGTCTACTCCAAGCCCCTCCCGAGCTTCACACCCTATCGTTAAGGGAGAGCCCAGCCACCCTGCTGACAAAGTTTGATTCAGCCGTTTGCATCTGCAACGTCGTTATTCGGTCACTAACCAAAGCTCGTGACCATAGGTGAGGGTTTGAATGTAGATCGACATGCAAAGCGAGAGGTTCTTCTTCTAGCTCAGCTCTTTCTTCACCACAACAGACTGGTACAATGCCCACATTACTGCAAACACAGCACTAAGCCATCCATTGATCTCTTTTTACTCATCAAATATAATTTTACTAATTCTCTCAAGCATGCTAAAACATTAAGGGGTTTCACGTCAAGTGAAAAAACATCCATCAGAGTGGTTGGCCCAATCAAAAATATAAAAGGTTTTTTTTTACAAGCAAATTAATAAAAAAAAATCTGAGCAAATCCAGCTGTATTTGTCAGATATGTGAGCTTATTTTCCTCAGGAAACAGCATTTTAGTAAAACTGAGTCATCAAGAGGTGTTTTCTCTGCTGCCTGACAAAAAATGATAACAAAATAATAACATTCTTTTTATTATTGTTATTATTATTATTATTTTACTTTTTAAAAGAACAGTTGGTGGAAAAATAAACATTAGTTAGTGGGAGTCGGATGGAAAATGGCACGAACATAAAGCGGAACTATTACGCTTGTAGGTCAACGGTTCCGCCGGAAGGTTTCTGTCATCGGACTTGGTTGGATTTGTTTACTTTGTTTTGTTGTGAATAGATTTTTTCGAAGAAAGATTCCGTTTGACGACTTTATTACAGCCTTTGTCGTTGTTTTGACACTTAAAATATTTATTCTTAAATATATTTTCTGACATCAAAGATATTAACCGTCTAAGCTCCGAGGGAGAGAACAAAATAAAAAGGCATGTCCGCGGATCGGCAGACGTTTGCTCCGGCCTCTGCCGGCGCGGTGGAAGCCCCCAGAAGCCCGCTGTCAGAGACAGACACCTTTAGGGTGTTTCTGAACCAACGGCTCACGGCAGCTGTCGAAGATATCCTGAGTGTGTTCGGGGAAACGGTGGCCCGGTACCGGGAGCAGTTAGACTGTCAGCAGCGGGAGCTGGAGAGCCTGAGGTCCAGAGAGGTGGAGTGGAGCCGATCTACAGGTTGGTGTGTGTCCACTGAGCTAAGACTCAACTCAAAACGAAAATTAAAGAAAGGATCTAATGAGACTGTACAATAATGGAGCTTTAACATGAAAAAACAGCGAATTAAAATATGATCTGATCAAAAAAATTGTATAATCTGGTACCAATTTTAAATATGATCTGATTTTTTGACTGCATGCAACGTTATTTACTTTTAATCCACTGATTTTAATAAAATCTACGTGAAACAGGATGTCATCAGCTCTTTAACGTTCACGCTTCTGTTTGTCACGCTTCAGAGCCGCTGCAGGACTCATCCTGGACCAAAACGTTACCTGAACACCAGAACCCGGACGCCCCTCTGGTTCAGACTAGCAGTGATCATGCTGGTACCTCAGCCGATCAGATTAAAACAGAGGTTTGCATAGAGGACTGCGAAGAGTCAAAAACGCAAGATCACTTTGACTCAGCCGTTGATCCAGAAACAGCCAGAGATGAGCAAATCCGCTCTGAGGATTCTGACACAGATGAAAGCGAAGGAAGCTGGAGAGATGCTGCAAATTTCTGGAAGTCAGATGAGACCAAAGATCAAAGCTCAGGTGCAGAGTTAAAGATGGGCAGTGGTTTCTCTCAGGAGGACAGACAAGTTCTTCCTGATTTCAGCTGCAAAGTGTGTGGAGATTCTTTCAACAAGATGAGTATTTTGCTCACGCACGCTTCATCCCACCTGAGAGACTGCAGCGTATGTGGAAAGCAGCTCGACTCCACAAGGAGCCTGAAGCTCCACCTGAAAGTTCACAGGGAGACATCGTTCCACTGCAGTATCTGCGGCCAGAGCTTCACTCTGCGTGGGAATCTCAGGATTCACATGAGGATCCATTCAGGCGAGCGGCCGTTCAGCTGCACCTTTTGTGGCAAGAGCTTCGGGAGGAGGGCGACGCTGGTGCGGCACGTCCGCAGCCACATGGGCGAGAAGCCGTTCACCTGCATGTACTGTGGCCACAGCTTTACAGAAAAGGGCAACCTGACTGTCCACTTACGGATTCACACGGGTGAGAGGCCTTACAGCTGCTCTCTGTGCAGCCGCAGGTTCAGCCAGCTATCCAGCTTCTACAAACACCCGTGTCAGAGGAAAGGCCTTTTGTGTGTCGCCATCAGTAACAGCGGCAATGCATGAGGCTGCAGAATGAAGCTCTCTTCAATAAAAAATTACATTTTGCCTTCATAATATTTTATAAAGACGTGGCATTTTTTAAATCGAATAATAAATGATAAATAATTTACTTCCTGTTTTGAATGACACATTTTTTCACATCCAACCCTCACATGTAGGGGGCATACCTTTTTGCCATTAGAGCTAAATTTCACTTTTTGTGAGTTAGTAATAATTTTCAGCTCCATTTCTGATGTTCTGAATGTATTGATCAGGATTTTGAAGCAGCTAGCTGGAATTAAAAGAAGAATAAAAGTTTTGCTAACATGGATAACCGTTGCTTCTATGTAAAAAAAAATTAAAGACAAAGATCGTAAAGTGACAGTTTTTACAAAAGTGTAGAAATAAAATGTGTGTGGAATGAAAACAGAAAAACAAAGTAGTGATAATTGTTGGGTAAGTTCAGATGATGGTGGGAAAAGTATTGTATTATTAAACATTTAATAACAAATAGTTAAAGTTTATATACATAAATAATTAAATTTTCAAAAATGATGCAACTTTTTATTTTATAAAGTGACTAAATGTCATTCCTTTGTAAAATAATAGAAACATAAAAATGAAAGGTAATAAAACAATTGTTATATTTTCAACTTTATGATTTATATTGTCTTAAAAAATTTTCAACATGACTAAATTAAATGATCCAGTCCTTAAAGAGGTTGTTTTGAAATAAGTTAGGATTTTTTTTCTGAAAAACAAATGTAAAATTGTAGAACTAACTAAAAGTAAGTTAAAAAAGACGTGGCAAAACATTTATTTAAAAATATTTTTACAAAACACCCCTTTGATTTACAAACAATTATTCATCCTCGCCAGCAGAGGGCGCGCAATCCCAATTTCTTTATAACTTCCGGTCATTACGTTCCTGAGCATGCGCACAGAAGTTACCCTAGGTTTGGAGCTGTGTTAAACAGAACGGCCGTAGTTCCGAGTACATTTCTCCTGACTTAAACGTCTCCGAGCTTCTGAAGCTGCTGCTAAGATGTCGAAAATCGAGTTGTTGAGGCTTCTGATCAACCAGCGGCTCACCGAGGCCGCTGAGGAGATCTTCGGAGTGTTTGGGAGAACCATTGCGGAATATGAGGAGGAGATCGCCCGCTCCAAACTGGAGATTGACCGCCAGCGCCGCCTGCTGGACCTCTCCAGGAAGCCGCGGATTTCTCTGCCTGCCTTTGTTCCAGGTCGGTAAAAAAGTTTAATAACTCTGTAATTTTGTCAGACCTGTTGCAATATTATGTTAAGTTTTTTTTCTTTAATAATTGAAACTTTTAAATGTTTAAATGTTCAGATGCAAAGTTAAAGGCTTAGAAGAATGATTCGGTTATGAAATGTTTATTTTTTAAATAATACTTTTATTTAATATTTGTATGACTTTAAATATGAAAATATTATTTTTAAAATTTTAATTTAAAATGTTCTCACCTTTTAGCCATTTAGTTTTTACATTGTATTGTTTTTGAGTTACTGTTTGCACACTAACTCAAAATAATAAAATGTAATAATCCTATTATTATTGTATTTTATTATCATCTTGTTTTTTATTTTTGGTTGTTTTTTCCAGACGTCTCGGAGCAACAGTGGAGCTCCAGTTTTGATCAGAACGAGGAGACGCCTCACATCAAAGAAGAGGAGGAAGAGGATCTGTGGATCGAACAACAAGATAAGTTGTGTCAGACGTCCAAGGAGAACGTCAGTTCTGTGTTCCAGAGCAGTACGGGCAGAAATCAGGGTGACAGAGTCTCCGAGTTCCAGAGCATGAACCCTGGAGACCAAGAGGACTTGAAGTTTGAGGAACAGCCCGGCACCTCAGTCCAGCAGGTGTCCTCTGAGGACGAACATGGAGCTTCTGAAGCAACGTTAGAAAACCTCCAGTTTGACTGCGAGGATCTGGAAGCACCGCCGCTGCAGATAGCTGACTCGTACGTGTGCACCATCTGTGGCCGGGAGTTTTCCCAGCGTAACCAGTGGACTAAACATATGCTGGTGCACCGGAGAGCCGGCGCCAAGGCCGACAAGTCGTTCACGTGTGATATTTGCGGGAAGAAGCTGACGCGTTTTGATGGATACCAAAAACACTTACGGGTCCACACTGGCGAGAAGCCGTACTGCTGCAGCGTGTGTGGGCGCAGGTTCAGCGACAACTCCAACTACAAACGACACATTCGCAGCCACAGGAAGGCCGGGGTTGTGGTGCCGAGCTCAGAAACCGCCACAGGCTCACCTCAGTGAGACACCTGAACATAAACATTTTATCTTCTTGTTTTAACAAGATGGACCTTCTAGCTAAACGAATTTAACCCTTTGATGCATGAACTATGAAATCTTCAACCATGATTTTTTTCATTCATCTTTAGGTGTGAATGAAACAAATTTCATATTTACTTATTTTTTGTGACATTTAATTTACCAGTGATTAATTAAATGTCCATCTCAGTGGACAGCGTGCAATCTGAACATGAAATATGTTGGCTTGCCTTACTGAAGTACAAATGGAGGGGCTCAAACGCAATAAAGTCTTCAACAGCTGTGCTTAATAGCAAAAATAAATAAATAACAATTTTGAGTACCTGTCCACTGTAGTGACCATTATGCATCAAAGGGTTAAAACATGTTTCTACATTTTAAAAGAACAAATGTCTGTGTTTCATGTCTCGAGTTTATTGTTTTCAGCCACTCAGAGCACAAAGTTTTACACTTACTTTTGTAAAGATATGATGACATTTTCTTTTCAGAAATGTCAACTCAGAAAAGGGCAGAAGATGCTTTAAGAACTGTGAAATAAACCAAGGTAATGAAACCACGTAGTTTAAAGTCCAGTTTCTATCAAATCTTTGATCTGACAGCAATAATCTGTCCAGATTAGACTTTATTTTTGTCTGTTTTAGTCCCAGATTTTGCCTTTGAAAAAGCATTTCTCTCAGGTTAATAAGAATTATTTAATTAAGATCAATTTAAGGCTCCTATATGAATCTATTCACTTTTTTAGATCCACATAGGAGCTTGAACCTCTGATTTTACACCTGCAGGTGGCAGCATAACACCTAATATTGAGTCGGATCCTGACTCAATACATTTGGTAAGCAAAGAGCAGCAGCAGCAGATCAGGTGGTTGAGCAGGTTGTTCAGCAATCGGAAGGTTGCAGGTTGGATCCCGGCTCCAGACAGATTTCTTCTGTAGTGTCCTTGGGCAGGACACAACCCACCTTGCCTGCTGGAGGTGATCGGAGAGACCAGTGGCACCTGTGTATGGTAGGCTCGCCTCTTGTCAGTGTGCCCAAAGGCAGCCATCATCATCACCACCAGTGTGTGAATGGATGAATGATGCAGTGTAAAGAGCTTTGGAGTCCCCTGACTCTGAAAAGCGCTAAACAAGTGCGGGTCATCTACGGTCATCTATCATAAAAAGAACATCTACAAAACGACGGTCCTGAGGTGGCACAAGATCTTGTTCTGTCAGAATAAAGGTGGTAAAACCTGCTGCCACCTAGCGGTCGGAGTTTGAATTACACCTTACTAAAGAAATGCAGTATTAGCATGGCAATCCACATAAAAATACACTTTTCAAATATTGATTTAGTATAACACAACATTTCACAATATTTCTGTGTGTCAGTATTTTCTTAAACCCTTAATCACTTCAGATCTATCAACTCCTTTAAAGACTAAACTGTTTCCTGGAAACTATCCGGATCTTCCTTTAGAGCTGCTTGGCCTTTGTTAACGGGAGTTACAGATCTTTAAACGTCATTATTCCTGTTGTCACTTCCTGTACTTTTTTGTCTCGTATTGAGATTTGGATGCTTATCAAGAGCTACTGCTGTAATGAAACTACTCAAACCACCACCAGGGCATTTGGAGGTCTGCCTAAAACTGCTTAAGGAGCTAACGAGGCCTCCAAGAGACTGAAGGATAGCTGGTTGAAGACGAGGAGACAAAGAGTAGAACTGATTTAAAGTCTTTGTATTCTGAGGATCTATGGACCGTCCTCACAGCTCCTGGAACCCCGACAGGTACCATTGTGATGCTGTCGTTCAGATTTGGGCCACTTGGTGATGCTGCGAGAGCATTTTCACTTGTGTGACGTCATTCCAGGTAAATGTGATCATATTCAGAGGACGGGGCTGAAAAACCACTTCAACAATGAAATAAATAAAATGAGTCACAGCTTCCCAAAAGATGTGCAAAACGGAACATTTGATCCGTTGAAATAATCCCACAATTAAACATCAGATTCCCTTTGATGAGTCTAAATAACCTTCTGTCTGTTTCAAGTGAATCTTTGTTTATCATCGTTTTCCCAATTCTGAAATGAAACGAGTCATCCTGATTAAAAAAAGAACAGATAAATGATTAAAGTTTCTGACCTTTTTGTTTCCGTCTGTCTCCATCTGTTGTCAAACACTCTGTTTTAGCATCGTAACATCCATGTAGCCGATGTGTGTTCTGGTGTCATAGTACTTAGTGCGTGTTCGTCTGAAGAGGGGGAGGTCCTGCTTAAAACTGCTGTGGGCCATTCCCATCTGTACCGGGTCGGCCCGGGTCAGGTAATAATAATAATAATAATAATAATAATAATAATAATGCATTGAACTTATATAGCGCTTTTCTAGACACCCAAAGACGCTTTCACACACTCTCACATTCACACACTGCTAGTGATGGTAAGCTACTTGTAGCCACAGCCGCCCTGGGGAGGTCTGACAGAGGCGAGGTTGCCATTTGGCGCCGTCGGCCCCTCTGACCACCACTAACACAGGCAAGTTGGGTGAAGTGTCTTGCCCAAGGACACAACAGCAGGATACCCCTGGCGGGAGCTGGAATAGAACCCATGATCATGAGGCAACCCGCTCTACCACCTGAGCTACTGCTGCCCCAGGCTAGCGTAGGTTGTTTACATATCTGGGTGGCCTGGTATTTTTCCGGGCCAACCAAGGCTCATTCTCAGCCCTCTTCTCGAGGGGGTCTGCTTCAGGCCGACCAGGGCCAACACACCCACTGCTGACAGCAAATTCACACCTTCCATTAGAGCAAGCCTCTGATTGGTGGGTAGAATCAGCCCACATGGGCTTAAGGCAAGGATGTGTGGAATCAACCGGGCCAGGCTGGGGCCGACTGGGGCTACCCGGCCCGGGCCGACCCGGTACAGATGGGAATGGCCCATTAGTTTGCTGGGAAGTCCCAGATTAGTTTAGTGTTTGGTCTCAGCAATTCCCTGCCAGAACAACAGAGGGCATAGCGCTGTTCTGTGGTATCCTGTCATGTATTCAGTCCACAACAGTGCATTTACTATTGTGTTTATATCGTGTTTTCTGCATTTCAGATGCTTTTTTACACAGATAAAATTTGTCCCTCATCCTCCTCCACCTGTTCATGCTCCCGCTACCTCTAAACCTACGTTTTCCATCATTCCCATCCACGAATAAAACACTTGCCTCATATCTTTTTACTCCTCCAGCCATCATGGGTGAATAAAACATTCATATTTTTAGAGTTTTTCTGCGAGGTATTCTTCCAGCTGCTCCATGTCTACCGCTAGATATCTTCGACTTTCTTCATGTTTTTGAGGGAGCGATGGTGGCACCGTTGACAACAGTGAAGCCAAAGGTGCCACACAAGCTTGCATCTCATTACAGATGTTTAGAAAAGTAGGTTCAATTCAGTCCGTCCTTGCGAACCTGCTGGAGAGCCCTTGCAAAGACTGATAATGGTGTTGCATGTCTCTGTACCGACACAGACGCATAAACTAGGCATAAGAGGTCAGAGAGACCTATGAGGACCAATCAGATGTCAGCAGAGGCCAGTGACCCCGTGGCTCCACCCCTACAGTCACCAGTGGTTATCAGGCTCGTTTTTATCCTCTAAACCTGCTGGTTGTAAGATTAAAAACAACAAAAGATGACTAACTGAGACGCATTTAGCCTGATAGTTCAGCATGTTTTGTATAAAGCTGAAATTTTCACAGCAGGGATATCGACTCTCAATCTGTGGTAGTGATGCAAGTCCGCCATATTGCAAAGGTAAACCTCTACAAGCACAAGCGTATAAGTGGGAGCTGTGGGTTTAATAGAAATAAATAAGTCATTGTTAGTTTTTGAAAATATTATTAAAAATCTAAATGAAATAAATCCGCAGCCTATCGCATTTCTCAGGCCCTTTACAACCCAAATGCTCAATAAAATCTAAAGTGATCCATTTAAATATTTAATAATTAAAACAGGGAAAGGGGCAACAGCATACGACAGGGCAGCTATTAATGACACTGGGAATAGAAGAAATAAAATCAAGGATGATTTTTTTTTCCTAATCATCAAACTTAATGATTTTCAGCCACAAATGAACGTATTTAGTTAGTAAATTAGATTTAATAGGGAGAAAGTATTAACACCTGTTCACTCATCCCTTTAACCGCCAGAGGGTTTCTGCATGCTGATGTATTTACCTGCTGATAAAGCAGACGTACACAACAACATGGAAGTAAATACTTTCCATCTTTCTGGGAACAAGACGAATGGCATCTATAAAAGGTGTTTGATTGAAGGGCAGCAGGTTTAAACACAGCTTAGCTGCAGAATCTCCACAGAACAATCCTTTAATCTGCACAAAGAACCGATTCATATTCCACAGAAGCAGTTATCCGATAACGTTCCTTTATCTCTCCGTCCCCTGGAACAGCCATCAGATCTGCCTCTAGCAGCTGGAGATCAGGATTTGTTGCTCTCATGTGAGCAGGACTCATTAATTTGGACTTTGATTCCTACAGGCACCCCCCCCACACACACACACACAAACACACACACACACACACACACACACACACACACACACACCTGAAACCTCTTCAAACTCTCAGATATAAATCCCCACTTAAGCAGAAATCAATATTAAACTCCTGCTGTGTTCTCTTCTGTGAAACCTGAACCAAAATGACTCATTCTGCTTTAGAAACTCACCCATGATAGTTTCCCTTCTGTTCAGCTGCTGCTTCACACTTCAGATTTCCGCCTCCCCGCTCTGCTGGTGGACTCAAAGTTGCATCATTTGGTGCAGAGGATGCTTGACCTAACTGTAGCAGACAGGCTAGTTCATTAGCTCTGCTGCAGCATGGCAGCCTCGTTATTACTTAACTGCTGGGTGGGGTGGGTCCGGGCTCTGATCCAGCCACCAGCTGGATGTGTTTCTGCTCACACACCTGCTACCTAAACACAAAGGTTGACCCAGACAGCTTGTTTACTTCGACATCTTGCTGCTGTTTGTTTGTTTGCAGCCATTTTGCTGCCTCAGCATCTCAGAAACCTAAATCTCCAGTTATTCTTTTTGTTGAAGCAAATAACCGGAAACTTTTTATTATTATTACCAAGCAGACACGTGCAGAACTTTGTCTGGAAAGCTGCACTGAAAACAACTCATTTATTATAATGATGGCTTCCTCGTGTCTTATTCATGTCTCATTAAGTCATTTCTTCTTCTGGATGGGTAGAAATTCTTTGATTTCTGGAGCTTTGGAAGGTGCAAACGAGAGAGAAGAGAGTAGAACATCTCCGTGCTTTAAGCTGCTGTACAATAATTTCTGGAAGAGTAAAAGGAAGTCTGCAGGAAGTTTGTTCCGTTCTAGTTTTTGTTGTTTTATCACAGACGGGCTTTTTCAGAGCCAGCTGAGTTGGTGTAAGGGCTAAATGACTCCTTTAGGCAAGTTTATTTGTATCCCTTGCCATCACATATTCCCCAGATTTCAACAGAAATCTATAATTTTCAGTTTTATATAAGTTGAACCAACAAAGAGCGTCAGAGCTGTGAAAAAGTAGTTGCCCCTAAACTCAATAACTGCTTGTAACACCCTTGGCGGCGACAGCTGCAATCAATCATTTCTGATAACTGGTAATGAGTCTCTCTGAAGGAATTTTGGTTTGCTCTTATTGGCAGAGTTGTTTAAAACTAGCCCTATTGGAGGTCCCCCCCATAGCCAGTGGTTGGACATAGTCATTTGAGGTTTTCTGGTAAAAAAAATGAAGGGTTATGGATCACTTAGAGCATTCAAAAAGTTCCATGTTGCCGCTGCTAGAGTCTTAACAAGAACTAAGGTCTAGTCCACACGTAGCCGGGTTTTTTTAAAAACGAATATCCGCCCCTCTAAAAACTTGCATCCACACCACCGCGTTTTAAAAACAAACTCTGTCCACACGTACCCGGATAAATACGTTGTTAAGGACATGCCAGACCTGTAGGCGGCAGTACTTCCCCCGTTCTTAACCTCGTCCTTCGTCTGTGGTCTTCCGCAAGGAGCAGTAATTCCTCTTGCAAAAACAAACAAGCAGAAAGCGCTCGGACAATTGATAAAGCGAGCGCAGCTCTGAGGGCATCCATGCTGTCGGCTAGTGTAAACAGGTCGCACACGTGATGTCAGCAATTTTTTGTCGCGGAAAGTGACGTTGCAGACCTTAAAACTCCAGTTTTGTCTGTCCACACACAGACACCCAACACGGAGAAAACGCAGATCTTCACTTTGGCCGGAGTTTTTAAAAAGATCCGTTTTCGTGTGGATGACAGGCCAAAACGTAGAAAAATATCTACGTTTTGGCAGATCCCCGGCTACGTGTGGACAGGGCCTAAGAGAATGGAGCACATCCCTCCTGTTCTTAGATCCCTACACTGGTTACCAGTAAACTACAGAATATATTTCAAAGTGCTTCTACTAGTTTATAAATCACTCAGTGTCATGGGACCAAAATACATGTCCAATCTCATTCCAGTATACACACCCAACAGGGCTCTGAGATCCCCTGGAAACCCCACGGGTCAGAACAAAACATGGTGGAGGTGATTTTAGTTACTATGCTGCTCACATATGGAATCAGCTTCCCCATGACCTCAGATGTGCCCCAGCCCAAGTCTTCTCCTTTAGCTCTAACCTATATTTCCATCTGTGTGCATTTTAATTTGTGTTTTATGTTGTTTTCATATCACGCCCCGATAACTGTAAAGCACACTGACTTGCCTCTGTGTTTGAAATGTGCTCTAGAAATGAAGCTGCCTTGCCTTGTTAGGCCAGAGTATTTAATTCTTGGATCATCAAGATGTCATTTTTGATAGGTAGATGATTTAGCCTTGAAACTCCCATGATGCCATTCTGTTTATTGTTGACTTTGACCTTGGTCAAGTGGTCGCGTCAGAGTTTTACATGTTCTGATTTCCAGAGCGTGGTCTATTGCTTAGTGAGATATTTCTCCCTGTTTGGTCAGACGTTTTGTTCAAGTGATTGGCAGTGTTCAGGCTTGGGTGTGGCCATTAACTCATTCACTGCCAATGACGACTAAAGTCGTCATTTGCATTTTTTTACTGTTTGAGCATCGGAACGAGCCCCCGCGCTGAGAACAAACATCTCAGCCCAGAAGCTGATCTTCATCCGCATACGTCACAGATCACATGATCAGGAAGCAACACATCCATGTATTAGGAGATCGTTTTGGGCCGTTTCTGTAAAAAAAGTGAGGCGCGAACCGGAAAAGTGTCTGCCGATCACAATTCCACAACGGATTATGAAAGAAACGCTCGAAACACGCGGCTTCTTCCTGATGTAAGAGGTAAGTCTTCTCTTTGTTTTGGTAGTTTTGGCATCAACATCATGCTAGCACGCAACGTTCTGTGACTCTTAAAAAAAACAGTAAAAACGGTGAGAAACGGTGAGAAACGCTGGCAGCGAAGGCCGTTAGTGATCAGGAAACAGCTGGCAATGAATGAGTTAATTAGCTCGTTTCTGTTATTAAAGAGGCCCTAGAAATCATAGCCACACTTTGTTAAAAATGGGTATAGCATGGGGTTTCTAACGTAGCCATCACCAGCCTGCTTTCCTTTGTAAATGAGAAATGTTGTGGAGAACCGGAAACATCTGCTAATGCTAGCCTAAGCTACTGCTAGCGTTCTTGTTGCATGAGAGGAAACAACAAACAAGGATGTTGGAGCAGAATTGTAACATTCCAGAATTTGAATAAATACCAAAAAAAATCCATAGCTTGCTTATTGGACTATCCCCATAATATGGCTGTAAGAAAATATCGGTGTAGTTCAAACTCTAGCTGCTAGGTGGCAGTAGGTTTTACCGCCTTCAGCTTGATGGAACGACAAGATCTTGCGAGAACACTGGATGTGTCTTGGAAGCATCTGGCCCGAGTTTTGAAATTAAATTCAGTCTCAACTATAGTCTGGCTTTTATCATCACATATCGTACCGTCTCTCCAGACAGATTCTTGCGGGATACTGTACAAAGTTTCTAGTCTCCGGCAGCATTATAGAGCCATTGAGGCAAACCAGCTAATCAGCACGCAGCTTCCTTAATATTCATGTCCTGGCAGAGTGGGCGTGGGCTTTCCATTTTAGGGCGTTATCACGGGGTTGTGTTTGATCATTTATCAGGGCTCCTGGGCCATTTTGAGCCCCAACGGTCTCATATGCAACATAGAGGCTAAAACAGCAGTTTACAATTGGAAAAAACAGAAAAGTGGTACTAGAACCAATCTCCCCCGTTATCACTGATAAAGAGTAAACACTTTTTCCACCGTGAGCAAGTATCTGATGTTGGTGGTGCTTCCCTTCTCTTTAGTCTCCATCAGTAACTTGTATGTATTTGCTTCAGGCCAAGAGAACTAACACAAAGGAAGTGTTTTGACTGCCCACAAACGCGGCAAGGCAAAAAAGTAAAACGGGACACGACAGATTCCCTTCACAGCGGGCTATTTTTGAACCATCTGTGCAGAAACATTTCCACAAACTGAATTCAGCTGTAGAGTGAATGTAAGGAATGGAAAAAAGCTCAAATGAAACACTTTTTCTCCAAATGACGCTAATGTTCACCTCTAATGTTAAAAGTCAGAATTTAATCAGATGATTATCGTCCACAAAAGGTCAAAAAAGACGCCAGACTTCTGATATATTTAATTTGAGAGAACACTGATCCTATATTTGAATAAATCATTTTGCGTTGAATGTATACAAGTTGTCATGCAGGTCATTTTGAGCATCAGAAAGGCAACATCAGTTGGTGCAGACATTTATTTCCCCCTAAAGATGGATTTTAAAACAATATACAACCAAATCAAACTCCTCCAAGCATCGCAGTCGGGTCGTTTAAACAGACTAGATTTCAGAGCACTTGCCTCTGGGTCTCCAAACAAATGTACAACTTATTATATTTCCATCCCGCTGATTTAATTCAGTGCTAATTAGATGCTGGACAGCAGACCTAAACACCCAGTTTGGAAACCACAGAGATAAAGGTAAGTTTGGACTAATTTGGGTCCCTTTTTTCAATTATATTAATTTCCGCTGAGCGCAGATGAGAAAATATAACTCCTTAAGACGCCTTGAAGCATTTAACACTGCATCTTTCACTCTGAGTGTTTTCTATAAATTGCACAGACATCATGCTGTTCATAAGTACAGCTAAATGCATTTGAAGCTAGAGAACAAATTAAGTAATTTACAGGTGATTAGAATTTAGAAATGATCAGAATTGAGGCGTTCAGTTTAATAAAAGTGTGAATTGGGCTTTTGAGACGAGTGGGGAATAGAAATGTTTCCGGGATCATCTGCTACGCTCATTCATGTATTTTACTCTTGCTTCGAGTTTGCGTCGGGGTAAATACTAACCTGCATCTCTGTGGCTGCTGGGCTTGGACGATTTGGCTGTAATCTCTTCGCTCAGGCAGCATAAATGTCCTTTTCTTCTGATGCGTGAATCTGCACAAACTACCTTAAAGCCTTGATCGTGAACACAATAACTTGTTTTCTGGAAATTTCCGTTTTTCTAGACCAGATCCGGGAACAAATGAACTTCCTACCATCAGAGTTTGTTTCTTTCTGACTTTTGCGGCGTTCTGTGTCATCAGTGCAACGCTGCAGTCCCACACTCACTGCATGCCAGGTCTACTTTTGTCCAATTCCCTGCTCATTAAATATTTGCAAGTGAAATCCAGGCCCCGCTCCAAGGTGCAACGACTAGGGACGTTAGATCAAAGCACTCAAAGAAAACTGCATTAATGAAGAATTTTCCAGGCCACCTCGGGCCTTGGGGGACTCCTTTGAGATCATCAGCATCTTTGCTCCTCTGCTTTTGGAATGTTTCTCGGATATTTTGCGTCTGAGTTGGATTCAACCCATAGTTTGTTGTGTGGGGAGCGTCTAAGGAATCCTGTTCTGCAGAGGAACAGGTTTGGGTCTGTGGCGGCCGCGCCATCGAGAAGCAACGTTCTCTCAGTGGCTTGTTGAGCGTCCATGAGAACAGATTCTCTTGTCTTTTTGGCTCATCGGTGCTTACGTGTTATGGTTTTGCACCGGCCCAGCGGACCGTTTGGAGTTCCTGTTTAGACTGCTGCAGCCATGCCTTGATGGCACATCTTCCTCCTACAGTCTTAGTAGTACTTCCCTGTGCCCGTCACTGAGGACGTTGCTGTGTTTGGCAGAAAGAGTGGTTTAGGTGGGACTTGTGGTTTTAGGGACACAGTTCTCCGGACCACCGCCGCCCGCTGCACGTGCGGCCCTTCGCTGTAGCTGTGCTGCCGCGTCAGGCAGGCACTGGGGCTCGACCCTCGCCGGCTCCCGTTGTTGTTGCTGCTGTTCGTGTTAGCTGTTGCCATGGTGCTGGGGGGGCCATTGCTGCTGCTGTTGGTGTTCATCCTGGCCAAAAAGTGTGTGTGTCCCCCCCGCTGGTTGAAGCTGTGATGGCGGGGAACGGCGCCGCCCGCTGCACCCATCTTGATGAGGGAGTGGCGCTGAGATTGGTGCCGAGTCACCGAGACGCTGCCGCCATCGGGTCGCTCAGGGATCACCTGCTGCTGAAGGGGAGTGGAGGAAGAAGAAGAGGATGAAGAATGGACAGAAGTGGAGGAGGTGGGGTGGTTGGAGGAAGAGGAGGAGGAAGAGGAGGAGGTGGAGTTCTGTGGTGCTGCATCCAGGTGTTTGGGGTGACCGTCCCTCGGCAGCGTGGAGGTGCTGTAATACGAAGTTGATTCGGTCTCCGGGATGGGTTGCTGGTGATGGTGACTGCTGCTGCTGCTGTTGTTGTGGTGGTTGCTATGGTGATGGCTGTGGTTGTAGTGGTGTGCGCGGGTCTGGCTGTGCTGATTGTTAGGATGGTGGTGATGATTATGATGATGTCCTGCAGAAGCCGACGGCACAGGGAACAGCGAGGACGAGGACGTGAGGACCTTGATGCCTCCGGTTCCCGACGCGCTGACTTCATGGATGTGCTTAAGCAGCTCGTCCAGAGCAGAGACATCCACCACCGTCTGAGGGAGGGACTGCTGGGAGTGGTGGTGATGCGGGACACCACTTACTCTTCCCGACGCAGTCATTGCTCGCTCATCGTTCAAAACCTTCCTCTCCTCGGGGATGTGCAGTGAGGTGGAGGAGGCGCCCGCTCCGTGGGCCGCACCGTTGCTCAGACCATTGCCGTTTTGATGAGAAAAGGGAAACCCCTGCTGACTCAGAGAGTTCCCAACAACAGCCATGAAACTCTGACTGGATGAGCAGCATGGTCCTGACTTGTCCTTGGCGTTGTTGCAGTTCTGGTTCTTCTCGTACTGATGATGCCGCAGAGCCCTCATGCTCTTTATGGGGAGCTCCGGGGTGGAGTCGGGTGTAGGAAGACCAGAAAGCTCTCCATCACCCTGAGACAGAGACTAAAAAGAGGTTAAACCAGTATTGCTAAACGTATATCAAGCCAGTATATTACTGGGATGAGACTGATTGCAAACATCGTTCGCAAAGGTCTTGATCTCACATCGCTGGAACTTCAAAGCAACACAAAAGAGTTTTTAACACTTTAAGCTATTGCTTTCAAACTGGTTTAATTGATTCTTGAGCCAGACACTAGCGATGGACAGCATTCTGCTGCCCTCTACTACACCTAACAGTTTGTGGTAGATGGTAAGAGAGTAGTCTTGGAGGTGAAGCAAAGAGCTAAAACAAGAGTGAATATCTGTGTGACCTACACTCGTCTGAGGAAGCTAAAGGAACCTACAAAGTAATGGACTGATAGTGGCCTGGCTTTGTTGCTACTAGACTTGTAAGTGATATTTTCTGTCCAACAGGTGTGGATCGTTTTACTTTGTTGCTCATTTAGTATGAGTTGGCTTTTGTTAGCATTAGCTCGTGCTTAGCACTAGCTAGTACTTTCTCAGTGACTTAGTGGTAGAGTGTCCATCCTGGGACTGGGAGATCAGAGTTCAAATCCTGGTTGGGCCATACCAAAGACCTTAAAATGGGACCCAATGCCCCCCTGCTTGACACTCAGATTTAAAAGGGTGGGATTAGGGGATTAAACCACCAAATAGTTCCAAAGCGCAGCTGCAGCCCCCCGCAGAGACGGGTCCAATGCAGAGGGGAATTTTACCAGTGTGTGATGACTAATGGGACTGTAACTTTAGAGCAGGCTTCGGCAGGGGTGTTTGAGTTGTAATTCTGCTTTCAACTAGTAGGAGGGAGAAGCAGACAATTTAAGTGTTGCTACAAGCAACAAAATGTGACAAAAAGCCATCACAGGCCTGAGGAGAAGGGTTTATCAGACAACTGACAAACCAGAGCAATCATGTTATATCCCTCACATGACTTGGTCATATATAAAACCTCTTGCTAAAGTGCCATATGTGCATTTTGCCTGTTGTCTACAGTTGCAGCCCAGTGGAATATACATTATAAAAACACCAAAGAAGCAACAAATCTGAAAAACTTGTACATTTTTTTAAGATCTGGATTTCCCAAACCCTTAAAAATATTCAGCTTAAGTCAGAGAAAATCTGTGAATTTCTATTATTCTTCAATTCGAGCAAAGATGAGTCTAATTTTCTACCCTAATGTTTTATTCCATCTTGCACAAGTGAAAAGGTGAACTGAATCTTTATGGATGTGGTATAATTTATAGCACAAGTCAATTCAAAGCAGTTTTCTTCTGTGGGTTTTAACCACTAACTGCTGATTAATGTCCAAACTGCATTCAGCTCTGCCCTTTCTTCAGACAATCCGTCTTCCCCACGGTTCTCGTTGAGGGTTAGGGTGGGTAACAAACGCTAAACCTTCTCCTACCTGTGACAGGTTGAGGTCGGGGTCTCCCAGCTGCAGGCCCTGATGGCCGGGGGTGTGGAGGTGTGGCTCGGCACACCCGTTGGGGATGAAGGAGCTGTACATTTTAGGTGTTGACACATCCAGTTTGTCATCCTGAACGGAATGGAGGTGACTCTTAATGGGTCGGAACAGGTGTAACAAGGAATTTATGTACATTTACAGTTCAGCAAAAAGGTCAGAGGTCAGCAGCAGCTCAGAGGATTTGTTTCACGCACAAGGGCATTAAGAAAAGTGACAGAATTATAATGAAACAGTCGGTTATAATGACTGAATAAAACACCAAGGTGAGGCTTATTATGAGTTCCCTGAGGGTGAAGAGGAAGAGGATGATGAATATTAACACTTTGGCTTCTCTGTTGAAGCCCCTCAGCGGTTCCTCAGAACCTGCAGAATCTGCAAACGCGACTAAAATACAGCAACAGTGATGCGTTCATCAATTTAATATCTTTGCCCACTGAGCATCCGCTACTTTTATTCATTTATTTTACAGCTACCTGTTTTATATTAAATTTGTACAATGTTTGATTTAAAGCAAAATAAACCAAGTTTAGTTAATTAAAGATGAACCTTTTTTTTTTCCCTTGGGGAGGCACCAGACGCTGAAACGATGTGTTCATGGATGTCAGGTAAAAAAAAAAAAAAGTGAATGTTTTTTTTCTTCTATGAAGAAATTTGAAGCATCTATGCATAAGGGCTTCACATTAAAACCATTATCAGATGACATGCTTGGATTTCAACACAAGACCCATGTGAACATGTCCTACACACCTTAGAATGTCCTTCCAGCAGCCCGTTCAGCTTGGCGAGGGATCTCAGCGACAGAGCATGTGGCAGGGAAGCCTCGGGGTCTTTCCCCAGCCTCCTGGCCCGGTGAGCGGCGCTGCGGCTGCAGTAACACGACACCAGGAAGCCCGACAGCATAGCCCCCAGGAAGAACGCCACCAACACGCAGGCAATCAGTAGGGTGTAGTGGACGTTAGCACTGGTGCGCTGCTCGATCTCAGGAAGACGACGGACACCTTAACACACAGAGAGGAAATTGTGAAAACATCTGTAAGATCCATGATTGCCGAAGGTAAATGGCAGGAATGATACCAGAAGAGAACTGGGGATCCATTCTTCATATAAAAATAAAATTAACTTTAAACACGTGTATTTTGTTTTTTTTGTAGATGCCTGAAAAATCAAACCTCCTCGTATTTATTTTGCCTCATAGTTGAATAGATCAGGTGCAAAAAAACCTAGAGACTGAAACACCCATCTACTTCTAGCATGGACGTAATTTTGAGGGGGGGACAGGGGGGACATGTCCCCCCCCACTTTTTCTAAAGTCAAGTTTTGACCCCTGCACTTTTTACCATCCAAAAACAATATTACGCTATATTAAATTGACACTGGTTGAGCTCTAGGACCAAGCAGAAAACAACCGTTTGTGTTGAAGCCGGCTTCCCATTAGAGCATACTGTAAAGATCCCCCCAATCCCCCCCCCCCCCCCCCCGTGCTCCCCCCCCCCCCACTTCTAAAGTGAAAATTACGTCCATCACTTCTAGACAAGTCTTTGTACAACCTTAGCAAATAGCTCAGCTGTTCTGAAAGCTATTCTATGTGCAGGGACTCTCAATCCTGGTCCTGGAGGGCTGCTGTCCAGCATGTTTTAGTTGTCTCCCTGCTTCAACACGCTTGATCTTAATCAGCAGTTTATTATCAGGCCTCTGCAGACCTGATGAGGTGCTGAACAGGTGATTCAGCTATTGAATCAGGAGTGCTGGAGCAGAGAAACAATGAAAACATGCTGGATACCCCTGAGAACCCCTGATGTTAAGGTTGTGAACAACATCTAACCTGTTGTAGGAAGCCCTTTGGAGAAACAAAGAGCAGTGCAGACCAGACAGATACGCTACTGGAAACATACACTTGAAGATGAATCCTGCAGGACTTCAGGCCTAGGTCTCTGCTTCTGACTCAATTTTCTCTTCATGGTCCTGTCTGAGTTTAAGGACATGGACACGGAGCTGCTCTAAAGGCCGATCTTTCCAGCCTGAATCTTTGCATCATGGAGATGGTATGTCCTGGTTCTGCTCAGGCCTGCACATCATGCCTGATACTGAGCTCCAGCACTTCAAAATGTTTGAGAATCAGGACAGGGAGAAGGAAAACTTCCAGGGAAATCCAATGTTGAATCACTGTCCCTTTAACAACTTTCCACGATTGCCGTCGCCAGGATTAACCACGGCGGAAACACGATCAGGTGACGTAGGGGCAAAGGGTAGAAAGGTCAGAGAAATGAGCTGGAGAAATCCCAAAAATCTAACAAGTAATCTGAAATGGGAAATTTATGAAAACATAACGGTTACAAAAGCATTTTGATTAAGGCCGGGAATCGATTAAAATAAATCAACTAATTAATCAAAAGTCTGAAATAAATTAATTGCAATTAATCTTTTGTTTTCCAGAAAAAGCAAGCAATAAACATGCAAAAATATACAAGAGGTTCATTTTATTTAGAAAGTGCATAACTTGTTGAAGTGTGTACAATCACTGAATGCTGTCTCTAACAGAGAAAACCTAAAATCAAATCCAGTTTCTGTTCAAACACATTGTTCGAAAAAGTTTATTTTGTAAACAATGAACAGAAAATGAATTTAGCACACTCAGCTTATGTTATTCAATGTAAATGTCATTTTCCACAGCGTCAGTTGAACTAGGATTGCCAACTCCCAAAAAATAAATAAGGGACACCTGGCTGGCATGGTCCCCAAATGCTTAGATACGGCTCTGGGTGGGACGGAGTTTTGATGGTGATCTGAATTGTTTGGAATATATGAACATTATGAGCTTATGAATCATATTTATTTTATAATGGTAAAACATGCAGTGGGATAGATCTACCTACATTTCCCTTTCCAAGCTCTTTGTTTTGCTTTCTTCTTATCCCGTCTGTCTCTGGTCCTGCATCTGCCACGGGGAGATGCAGGACCTAGTTCCCCAGAAGAAACTCTGTCTGGCCGCGGCCGTGGAGCACGGGTGATGAGCGCAGCAGCGAAGCGCGTCAGCCACGAACGAAAGGCAGAAAGTACCAAAACAGTTATGAACGATAGTGTGTTAAATATATTTTGGTGGCGCTGCGGTCGTGCGCAAGACGCAGATGGCGGTGGAGCGCATGAGCACTCTGCCTCTGTTCATCTTCTCCGCTCAGAAGATTCCTCGATGCTGAGAGCCCATTGTATGGGTAGAAACTAGATCTTTTTTCTGGCTCAGTAAATGATGGTTTAGCAATATTGCCCAGGGGGAATATCGAGAAATTTTGGCGAACGGTGGCTCCGGGTTGGAGAGATGGTCAAATTAATTGCGTCATTTACTTTTAACACGATAAAATAACAAAGTTAACGCTAATAATTAACGCGCTCATTTTCCTGGCCCTAATTTTGATATTTTTGAGCCAGGAATGGTTTTGAGAGTTTGCAACTGGTCTCATTGAGACTCGTTTGTCTTAAGCGATCTGTTCATCTACAACAGGTTCTTCCTGCAGAACTCCACTTAAAGTGATACTCGGGTCCAAAAACAAGACCCAAGTCACAGTTTTTGCCTTCCATCATAAAAGTTATTATATAAAAAAATCTGATTTAACCCTAACTGCAGATTTAGAACATCACCCTCTCTACTCCGGTCTGGAGTTTGTAAATCTTTAACTATCTGTTAGTCATCCTGGCGTGGCGACTGCTTGGAGCCTTGTTTAAAATATCATCAAGACTGGACCGAAGCGAACATCCATCCAATGTAAACTCATTTATTTGATCTATTAACCACATAAAACCCATGTCTAGTTTACCATCTCACTCAAGTCCAGCATTACTGAAAATACTACAATCCTTTAAAAAAGTCCACTTCATAAAATGTGATGACTCAGACTCAGAGTATTAACGTTTTAGATGTTTGTGTTTTCCTGGGAAAATATTCCATAACGCAGCAAACCGTCTCCAGTAGCAGCACCCATCAGATCGCCCCCCTAATGCATAATCAGGTATTGATTTGATGTGTGTACACAGAGTGTGCTAAACCTTTAGTCAACTCCCTGCCAGCACACACAGGCCTCTTTGGCTGATGAGTAAACAGTCTGCTGACAGTAAGTTGACAAGGAAGCGGAAAAGGAGGATGAGGAAAAGCAGGTGGAGGAGGTAAAACCAAGGTGAACGTGAAGAAGACTGGAAGAGAGTGAACGACAGCGACTGAGATTAGACTTAATGAGAAAAAGGTGCTTCACAGGTGAGAAACCAGCGTGACAGACGAGAGCAGAAGACAAGAAGGACATGAAGGTGAAAATCCAGAGGGTGAAGAAAAGAGGAGGAAGTGAAGAGATGATTGTTAAGAGGGAGACAGCGGGGCTGATAAAAGGAATGAGGGGAGGGCAGGAGCAGAGAGGAAAGAGTTATTGTTTGGTTCTCATCAGGTACACACACACACACACACACACACACACACACACACACACACACACACACACACACACACACACACACACACACACACACACACACACACACACACACACACACAAAGCCTCAGAAACACAATGAGTCATCAGTCTATCCTGCGGCACACACATGCACAGTATCATGGTAAGGTGTGTGTGTGTGTGTGTGTGTGTGTGTGTGTGTGTGTGTATGTGTGTGTGTGTGTGTGTGTGTGTGTGTGTGTGTGTGTGTGTGTGTGTGTGTGTGTGGGGGGGGTATAGTTGGAGTCAGCTCCAGCGTTTGGCCAAAGGAACTATGAAAGAGCAGAGAAAACCATATATAGGTGCATGTTAGTATTTAATCTTGAACAGGAAGCCCGACAGTCTCAGTGACTGATTTATCTTTTCAGTGAAACGTGGGATACAATCCACACCTCTAAATCTTGTAGCCATTACAGAATTGTAGCTTCACAAACCGTCTCCCACTTCATCTTGTAAAACTTTGGCTCTTCTTGTTGTTTTTCCATCTCCAGAAATGACTGTTGATGGATGTCCGTGTCAGCGCTGCGGTTTTCTCAGGTGATTAGCCACTTTAGCCGATGAAGTCTGTGACTTTCTTGTTGACTTTGTTTGCCTTAACCTCAGTTTCATCCTCAACGCTCGACTGAGCACCAATTTACATTACTACTTCCCTGCTTTACATTCCCCACGACACGCGGCCAACGGGCAGCCATCCAGGCCACAAACTGACAGGCTGATTTGCCTCCCTGACACTCAGAGCATTTTGTGCATCGTCTATTGCCTCGTAAACAATCCTAGAATGGCTACTGGAGGAAAAAAGGTTTCCGACTTCCTGGGAATTATTCTTGTAGCAACTTTAATTTATTTACTCGAAATATCTTGATTTGTAATTATTTAACACATTGGGATTTTTTTTATTGCTGGTGGAAATTAATAAAACCCCCAAATAAATTAGTTTAATAATTAATGTAAGTCTGAAATATTAATGCATCCAAACTTGGTTGATTTAACCATAGCTCTGCATGTCGGCCACAGGAAGATGAATATTCTTTCCTCCTAAAACGTTTTTGTCCCGGCTTTCCACCATCAGCATCATGTAACACCTGAAGAGCCATGTCGATAATAGTAATAATCATGAAGCAGTTTTGGTCCGTTCATCGGTATCTACACTTTACTGAAATGAATCAAACTTTACATAAATGAGGTCTACTAATCGTGCATGGTGGCGCAGTTGTTAGCACTGTTGCCTCGCAGCACGAAGGTTGCAGGTTCGAAACTCGGCTGCAGCCTTTCTGCGTGGAGTTGCGTGTTCTCCCCATGCGTGCGTGGGTTTCCTCCGGGTACTCCAGTTTCCCCCACAGATCACAACATGCCCTATAGCACATATGTCAGAGTCAAGGCCCGCGGGCCAGATGCGGCCCACGGAGCATTTTTATGTGGCCCGCGAGATAAATATCAAAAATATATTAAAACTGGCCCGCTGGTCGATTTTACCGCAAAGACTTCAATTCCCATGATGCTTTGCGGCATCAGCGCGGAGCCGACGT